TGGACGCCAGTATTCCATCCTCCGGGATGGCCGAGCCTGCGGTCACCGGAGGAGAAGCCGCTCACCTGTGCCAGGGCTCGGCCCACCTGTGCCAGGCCCGGCCCACCTGTGCCAGGGCCCAGGCGCGGTTGCAGAGCAGGAGAGAGCGTCTGAGGCCCTTTGAAAACTGTTTGCATCCGGGTGCTCTCCTTTTCTTCCCATTGAGACTTTTCACATTATGAAACGGTCCTCGTGCCTCTCCGGCCGGGTCGTGCCCAGTTATTTATACATGTACGATCAGCTCCAACTTGTGCAAATAGTCTCCGTCTCCTCGTCGCTCTTTTAGGAAAACCTGTCCCTTGGTTCCTGTGTAGTGAGAGGGAAAGCGGGACATGGAAATGCAACCCTCCGGCCCGGAAAGCGCCTCACGTCCCGTGCACGGTTCCCCCTCCGAGGGGGACCCGCAGTCTCTGAATTGTCGCTGTGTTGAGGCTTCTGGCCCAGGTCCGGTGCGTTGGCAGCCGTGGTCCCCAGGCCAGGGTGGGTGAGTTAGCTGTCGCTCAGGGAGGGACACGCAGGGGAACGAGCGAGCGAAGGTGCCGCCTCCGAAGCGCCGTCCGCACGGGCCGGCACGGATGCTCCTGCCCCACGCCCCGCCTTCCATGGGCAGCGGCTGCCCGAGGCTCCACAGGGCCCCTTGCTGGCCTGCAAGTGACAGCACCTTCTACTCGGGAGACCTGCCACCCTTGCAGGTCCCAGGGCAGGGCCATCTGCAGAGCCCTGGATGTCTGGCTGGGCTTTCCCCCCAGGACCTGCTGCCAGGGAAGTGGGGGCTCCCCACGGTCACCGCTACCCTGGGCATTCTGCGTATTCCCCAGCGACCTCGGACATCTCTGAACACACCTGGCCAGTGTGTATGGTGAGCAGGGGACATGTATAGAGAGAGGGGGGCACCTGTCACCCTGCCCCCTGCCGTTTCCACGGGTGCAACTGTCCAGGGAGCGCTCAGTTCAGCTCCCTGAGCCCCGAGAGGTCTGTGCGCCCCCAGGAACCCGACGGGACTCCTCGTGCGGCGGGCGCGCGCGCGCTGTGCAGCCGACCCTGGCAGCACCCAGGAGCTGGCTCGGGCCTCGGGAGAGCGGGGCCGGGCGGTGGTGGGAGATGGTGTGGGAGGCCCCTCACTATCTCCGCGCCGTCCCCCCCCGGTCTTCTCTGGGTGGCTGTCAGAGGAGGGTCAAACGAGGGGACCTTGGAGGACGTCATGGACAGCCAGCCAGGCGGGGACACAGCCATTTCTCTCTGCCCAGTCCTTGCCCCCCCCAATCCCGGGCGCGTCTCTGCCACTCATGCTGTTTCAGCGGCTTTCCCCTCCCACGTGCGCGATCACCTTTGCCCGAAAGTGGTTGGGCTCCAGCCGTCACCCGCTCAGGTCAGAGGCAGGCTCTTCGCCTCCTTTTAAGGAGCAAAGCCTCTTCCACAAGGGCAGGGCGGTCGTGGGGAGGCTGGATGCGCTGACTCTGCACCTTCCGCTGCTTTGGGGGTTTTCACTATTGTTATTTCAGCCTTTGAGTTTTTGTTCTTCCCTAACAGTAAGAAAATGATGATCTCGCCCTCTGGGTAACGGTGTCCTGATTCTACGGGAAACGGAGCCGTGGCCCGTCCGCGATGGAGTCTTCCTAGCGCTGTCCGTCCTTGGCAGCCTGCAGGACAGAGGGCCTCCCCGAGGCCCAGCATTCACCCTCGGAGACCCACACCATGCAGGTGTCCCGAGGGGGGGGTCCCTGACCCCCTGGGGCACTTGTCAGCAGACCACGGGGTTTGGCTCCGCCTCCAGCCTGCGCTCTGCCGCCCCCCCAACGGAAATGGGAGGGGGGGTGCCTGAGGCAGCGTCTGTGTGTGACTGCGGCCAAGACGGTGGCGGCCGGGCCGTGCTGGAGGCACGCGGGCAGCCCCCCTATTCACACTCACGTCACCGCAGGGCGCACGGGCGGGCCTGGCGGGCCCTGCATCGCAGTGGGAGGCCCTCAGAGGGGCGATGCTTGGTCTTTCCCTCTCGTCGTCCCTGCCCTGAAAACACCTGGGCGAGGGAGACCCTAGGCGGGACCAGCGACTCCACCCCCAGCGCCCCGTTCCCCGCCCCAGCCGGACGGCCTCGCGGGCAGGAAGCAGGGGTCAGGCGTGGGAAGCTGTCAGGGGCCGGCACTTCTGGCAGGAACTCGGAGGCCCAGAGGCCTGTGCACCCAGCGCCGCCCCCTCCCCTGTAGAGGCAGCGTAGCCTCGGGTGGTTGCAACTGGGGCTGGGGCCTGGGACCTCCCGTGCCCGGAGGCCAGGAGCTGGGACTCCGGCAGCCGAACCCTTGAATTCCAGGGGAACACAGAGGTCCACCAGCCACCCGGTCACAGACATTATTCACAGAACCTTCCAGAAAGGAGAAGTGGGCTTCCTTACCACTTTTTCAGACTCAGGGGCAGTGGGTAGCAGTCACCACCTGCAAGTAAGCAGGTGGGCGTTCCGGTCACAGCAGGTGGCGTCTCTTCTGGACGCACAGGCAGCCACGTGGGAATTTAACCGCCGCCGCCGCAGCCACCGCCACCCCACCCCCCACCGCCACCCAGGCTGCAAGTGGCCCTCCGGCTTCTTTCTCCAGCTGCCTCTGAAGGTCACTGTGACCAGCCTTTCCCGGGAGAGACCGTGGGAACAGGGTGCACACTGTGCTTGGCCTGGCTGCTGCCCCCGCACACGGGCAGGCTGCAGAGCCCACGGACAGGGCGGTGCGTTCTGCCCTGACCCTGGCCCCCGGCAGAGCCCAGTGACCCGCCGGAGCGGGGGGAGGCCAGAAGGGCAGGGCTCCCGCCGCAGCTTCTGGTCCCTTCATTCACAGAGCGGGCGCCCCAGGCCGGAGGAGAGGGGTCTGCCTGGGGAAGAAGCCCCCAGCCAGGGGACTAGATGCCCTCTGGGATCCGGCCTGGTGGTCCTGCCGCCGCTCACGCCCTTCTGGCCGCAGCCCCGGCCACGCCGCGCCTGAGCTCTTGCCCTTCTTGCCTCTGCGGCCCCTCCTGGGAAGGACGCCCCTCCTGAGCCATGTCAAGAGACTCTCCCCTGGGAGGGGGCTTCTGCCCGCCCTGGTCACAGTGACCCCCTAGGATGTGCTTCCCATCTTTGTCCTGCGTGGCCCATCCTGTACTTCTTGACCTACAGGGCTATCTGCCTCTTGATGGCACATTCCGTGGACGCAGCAATAAGGCCAGGCTGGTGCACCCTCGGCTCCTGGGCTCCTCACCGAGCCTGGCCAGGTGGCTGTCTGGTGCCCGATTTGAATTCTCCCGAGACGCTGCGTGCAGAAGCCACCTGGCGGCCAGGCGTCGGCGCTGAGGAAGGGCGGCCCCTGTGCCACATGCCGGGGACTCCTCGGGACCAACCTCAGCGGCGCGCTGTGGGGCCTCGGGGAGGGTCACGCCCTTCTCCAGGCTGCCGGCTTTCTCGGTGGCACTTGGGGTCGGGCACGGTCCGGCAGCACCGACGGGGCGCCTGCAGCGAGCCCGCGCACTGTGGGCGTCCGCACCGGAGACGAGAGGAGCTGCTGGGCCCACGGGACGTCTGGGCCAACCCCAGAGCAGCTGCCCAGCAAGGGCATTAAAAAGGCATCGAATGGAATAGAAAGGCAATTCTAATCAGAACGGAAGCCGGCCGGCGTTCGCGGGGAGGAGAGGGGAAGGCCGCTCCGCTGGGAATAAAGTACGTGGGTCATCTCGGTTCTGGAGATCCGATGTAGCGTGTGCCGCAGCCGTACTTAGGGCGTGTAAGCGCACGGTGAACTGATTAAATAAAATGGTTAAAATTCAACACGGAGTTAACGCCTGTTTCACGCAGTATTGTTGTGCTGATTCGTGTCTGTGCTTGTCAGGTAGCTGGTGTGAGCCCTTTGAGGGTATCTGTCGCGGGACCGGCAAGTGGTCGCTGGTCTGGCAACAAAATTGCTCCAGTAAAGGGACTCTTGAGAGTGGGACGGGTTTGAATTCTGTGAAGTTTAGCGCCCTCTGCTGGTCATAGCAGGCAAATGACTTGCTGTTGGATGCAGGATGAGACGGCCTTTGGCTCAAGGTCTCGGCTTCCTCTGCCGAGGAAGGGTCAACATCTGGGCACAAGTGCTTTCAAATTAATGCGTGTGATGGGAAAAGCGCTTCAGCAAGGGAGTCTGCATCCCTGGGTTGTACTAAGCCAGTGAGTCCTTCCTACCTAATCAGTTACTCTCTAATTTACTCATGGGGAAAGGACTGTAGCCTCCTGCAATAGCAGATTTTTTAATGCCACGAGAGGGCTGGGCTGGGCTTTCATCCGGGTAGTCGGGCTCTGGAGGGTAGGGGAGGGTGGAGGCCCTGGGGCTGCAGCGTCCGGGACCTGTCCGCACCGCTCAGGAGGGGGGCAGCGAGGCTGCCCTGGGAACGCGAGCCGCGGTGTGGCCACAGGGCGGCAGAGAGGGACCGGACTGTGCCGATGGGCCGGCCCCCCGGCCCTGGGACCGCAGGCGAGCGAGCCCAGCACCTCCCCGAGCCAGCGGCTCTTCCTGGGGGCCCTCACCCTTCCCCGGGCTGTCCTGACCCCTGACGCCGGGGGCCCAGCGCCATGTTCCCGATGGTGTCAACAGACGGTTGTCCCGTGGAACCGAGTCGTAACGGGGACGGGGAGGCTGTGGGCTGCCCCTCCGAGTCCTGGGTCTCGGGCACTTCCGGGCCCTGTGCCTCTCCTGCCTGACGACCCCGCCCCCAAAGCAGGCACGCAGACACAAAGAGGAATTAATCCAGTTGGCTGGAACTTACCGAGCCGGCGTGGGGGGCGCTCCCTGGAGCGGCCGACCTGGCAGGCCCCCGGGCGAGGTTCTCTCCTGAGCGCGGGGCCCCCTCCCAGGCTCAGAGGGACCGAGCGGCGCTCCCGAGGCGCCTCCCGCCGCCCCGTGCCCCCCATGCACTGCGCGCCCCCCTGGGGGAGGGCGCATCCCCTGAGCCTGTCCTGCCTCTTCCAGGCTCGCCATGGAGCCCTTCTGCCCGCTCCTGCTGGCAGGCGTTAGCTTGCCGCTGGCCAAGGCGTTCACGGTCAACGAGACGACCCCAGCGGACAGCAACTGGACCTCCACGACCTCGGGTAAGGGCCCGCTGCCTCGTGCGGCTGCCCCCGCCGCCCCCTCAGCCCACGGGGTCGCGGGCCTTCGAGGGTGATGGCATGGCTCAAGGGGCGGAGGAAGCCGTGGTTGGCTTTGTGCTGTGCTCTGCGCGCTCAACGCCTGTAAAACAGGCTGGCAAGAAAAGCCGGCTGTTCCGTGGGTGACTGCAGCAGAGCTCAGCGCTCGGCGGCAGCCGGCGGAACCCCGTGCTGAGAGCTGGCGCCAGCGGCAGCGGGGGCAGGAGACCCCCCGCGGGGGCCCAGTCAGACCAGCCCGAACCGGGAGCCAACGCTGCCGCCGGCCTGGGACATTTCCGTGCAGACATCACCGCTGAGATGACTTAAGACGCGGTTGTCAGTATTTTTAGATTAGGTGTTGGTATAGGGGTTAGGTTTGCTTGTTAAAGAGCCCTTACCTTTTCAAGACACGTACTTACTAAAGTATTTACAAATGAAATGGTATGATGTCCAGGAGTGACTTGGGAAGGGTGAGTGGGGGCAGGTGGGCCTTGTCCTGGTAAGAAAGCTGAGTGGCAAGTCCATGGGGTTGCGTATTCTGTTCTCTCCCCGTTTTTATATTGGTCAGGGCTCCCCAGAGAGCCGGTATGACTAGGACACCAAGACAGAGAAAGAGATCCAGCCGGCTGCTTCACAAGGCCTCGCTTGGAGCTCTTCTGGGCTGAGGCGCCAACCAAGGGGCGGTCCCTGCCCGCCCACAGCCCCCGCCCCTGGGGCCCTTGGGGCAGCAGGAGACCCGCCCCAAGTCTGGGTGCGCAGGTGCCTGGCCCAAGGCAGCGATGTTCCAGCAGTGGGCCGCGAGAATTCCTACAGCCGGCCATCCCTGACGGCTCGGTCGGGGCACGGGCCTCTTTCCCCTCGGGTTGCCAGGGAAAATAATGGCAACAGCCAACACAGCAGTGGCCGTCCAGTGTGGACCCCTGTCTTGAGCCGTAAATATATAGGTCACACAATAGAGTTGCATCTTTTTGGCCAAGTCGCATAATAAGGTTGCATCTGATTGGTTAATTCTTTTAAAGATTTTATTTATTTATTTTCAGAGAGAGGAGAAGAGAGGGAGAAAGGGAGAGAAACATCAATGGGTGAGAGAAACAGCAATTGGTTGCCTCTCACGTGCCGCTAAATGGGGACCCCGTCCGTGACCCAGGCATGTGCCCTGACACGCAATTGAACTGGCTACCTTTCGGTTCACAGGCAGGCGCTCAATCCACTGAACCACACCAGCCAGGGCTGATTGGTTCATTCTTAGTGCCAGAAATCCTTATATGCAATTATAGACACCTGATTTCTTAAAAAACCCTTTTGGAGCAAAAAGGGTAGGTAATTACTATTAATAATTTTTTGGTAAAACAATCAAAATTATACCTTTTTTTGGTCAGATCAGCAAAAAGTATATATTTCGGTGTGCTGCAGAGTTTTAGTAATTAGCGTATGTGCTATGAGATGGACAAGGTTGAAACTCACACTCAGTCCCCTAACTTGCAATTTCCAGGAGCAGAGCCTATGTAAGCCACACACACACACACACACACACACTTTGCAGGTGAGTGTGCACAAACTTGGCACACTCATCACACGCACTCGACTCGGAGCGCCGCTGGGGAGAGTCTGGGAAGAGGGCCGCTCCCGCGGCGACGCTCCGGGCGCCCCTCCTGCGCAGCCGAGCCGCCAGCGCGAACAGAAACAGAAGGCGACTCCAGGGTTTCCTCTGAGACGCCAGCCACTCCCTCCCTGGAGCGAATCGGTGTCCAGGGACACCGCCCCGCCTTCAGAGGGACTTTCCGGCCCACATTATTTTTCCAAGTTGTATTTAGGTTGACTGACTTACCAATAGAGAATCGGATAACTGTACATGAAAACGTAGGCCCCTCCTTTTGCCAGGTTGGAGGAAGGGAGCGCTCTGGGCGCGCCACCCGCTTGGCCCCAGTGGGCTGGGGCAGAGAGGCAGCTGCCCCGCAGCCAGGGTGGGCACCCTGTGTCCTCAGCAGGCCCGCGCCCACCCCGGCGAGCCCGCCTGACCTCTGCCCTGCAAATCAGGGGCAGCTGCTGGCAAAAGGCAGGAGCCTGGGGGGGTGCCCATCCACCCACTTGATCCGCCGCCTCTGTCCATGGGCGCAGCCCTGCCCGGGGCCCTGCTTGGTTCACCTCGCCCCGTCCTGAGGCGCATGCTTGGGAATCCCCGCGTCTGTGAATGCAGCCTTCCCGCAGGCGGCAGGAGCGGGGAGGCCGGCCCCCGAAGCCCCTGACGGAGGCCCCCAGGGCTGGGCTGCCTGTGGCCCAGGTGCCCCCGGCAGCTCCTGGGCAGGCTGCACCCTCGGCCGGGGCCACCCATCCTTGGGCCCGAGCCCCGGCTGGTCAGCCACCGCCAGGCGGGGGCTGAGCGGGCAGCCGGGCCCGTGCGATGCAGAAGCGGGCGTGTCCGCGGCAGCGAAGGGAAGGGGCACCCGCCCGGCTCCACGGCTGCACTGCCGGGCAGAGACGGAGCCCAGGCCTGGGCCGGCCGTGCCCCGGTGTCAGGCTTCTGCCAGGCAGCCTGTGCTGGAGGTGGCTCCCGGGCCCGCGGAGGGCGGAGGGAGGGTGTGGAAGCCTCAGGCCAGGTGGGTTCCCAGGAGAGGCCCCTGGGACACTAGGCAGGTGCTCTCAGGTGCTGAGCCTGGCACCAGCTGGGCCTTGAGCCGCAGCAGGGCCTGTGAGCACCACCAGCCAGCAGGGGGCGGCATCGGCACGTCCTGGGCGAGGGTGTTATGGAGGCAGGCCAGGGTTAGGGCGGCTGGGGGCACCTCCTCGTCACAGACCAGCTGTCCTCCATGGACTGCTACATCTGACAGTCCCTCCAGTCGGTAGAATTTCGTGGACCGCTTGCAGGGCGCCAGGGCGTAGAGGGTTGGCTGGCCTGCTCCTAAGGGGGTGAGATGCAGGTCACAACCTTTAGGACTCACAGGGAGGGGATGCAAGGTGAGGGGAGACTGCAGGGCTAGGGAGCCCCCGCCAGGCTCAGGGCCGTGCTCGGTGCTTCCGTGAACCCCAAGTGCGAGCAGCCCAGCGCTGGCTTTGGGGGGGCTCCCCCAGAACGCGAGGGAAGGCCGTCACCCACGGGGTCTTTCGCTGCGGGAGACAGGGTCTGTGCTGGGACCCACCAGAGGAAAGCTGAGTGGGCTTCCTGGAGGAGGGGGCCTGTGTTCCCTGGAGAGCGGGGACGTTTTGGGGAGGGGGGACAGCGTGACAGGTGGGGCGGTGGGGGGAGGACGGAAGCTGGCAGCCAGGCCACAGAGTCCCCTGGAGTGTGGGCTGGGGGGCAGGTCCTGGGAGGCCACAAGCCCGCCGCACTGCGTCTGGGGATGGGGGCCTCCCGGCCGAGGAGGGGCAGCCTGGGCGCGTGCGGGGCAGAGGGAGGAGGAGCGAGGGCGGTGCCGGCGGCCAGCATCGCTCAGGGCGGGTGGGACCGCAGCTCCTGCCTCTGGGAGCCGGGCCCCCGGGGCTGCAGCCTCTGACGGGCCCCGGGGCCGGTCTGCTCCCCGCACCCCGAGGTCCCACCGGTGGCCCGCGAGTTCCCCAGCATGTCCTGGGACGGCGCAGTGTGGCCTCTGCACCTTCACTCTCTTCTACCTCCCCATTAGGGGAAGAGGCGGGCGCCTTGGGAACCCAGAAAAGCAGGCCGCCTGGGGGTGAGGGCCGGGGGGCCTCGGCGTTGTTGCGGTCACTGCCTCCCACCAGGGGACCTGGGACGGGTCAGGTCCCTGGCTCCTCAGCTCCGAGTTTCCTTCTGGTGTCCACATGCCCCTCGGTAGGTGGGGAAGGGTTGTGGCTGCAGTGGTCAAGGACGGGGGGCTGCTTGGCAGCCTGCCAAGCAATGGGCTCTTGTCCCAGAAGAAAGGCTGACGGAGGAGGGGCTTTGAAAATGCCAAGTGAGGTCTGGGAAGAAGAGTCAGTGTGGAAGGACCACTTTACAGACTGTGGGGTGTGGCTCTGGTGTGGGGGAAGGGGGGCGGGTGGAGGAGGGGGCCCTGCTCAGCAAACTGTAAAGTGGGGCCGGGGGGGGCCCGGAACGAAGGGCTGGTGGGGCACTTTGCAAACTGTCGAGTGCAGCCGGGGGTTGGGAGCCTCCCGTGCCCAGACCCCCGCCCCACCGCCCGCGCCCCCCGCCCGGGTGCCGGGTGGGGTCGTGACGGCCGCTTCCACCCCCAGGCCCCCCGGCCGCCGGCCCCCGGCCCCTGCTGGCCTGGCTGCCGCTGCCCCTGCTGCTCCTCCTCTTCCTGCTGCTGGCCGCCTACTTCTGCAGGTAGGAGTGTCCTGCGCTGACTTGCCCGTCTGCTCGGATGAGGAAATGAGCACCCACGGGCTGCGATGACGGTGGGGCGTGGGGCCCGGTGGCAGAGGGCGGCGGGGCCGCGGGGCAGAGGGACGCGGGCAGCGGCGGCTCAGCCATGAGCAGCAGGAACAGCTTCTCCCGGCTCACCTGGTGGGTGCCCCCCGGGGCTCTGGGCTCGGGGGGCCCCCTCCCCTGTGCCACAACCTTACGCGTCTCTCTCTCAGGTTCAGGAAGCACAGGAAGGCCACGGTCAGCGCCAACGACAAGAAGATGCCCAACGGGATCCTGGAGGAGCAAGGTACGCACACCGGCAGGCCCGGGCACGCCTGCCCAACGCAGCGGCTGCCCCCGTCCGTGGCCGCCATCCCCAGCTCTGCATCACCTGCCGGAAGGCCGGTGCCGGTGACTCTAGAAGGTCACCATGTCAAAACTTTCCTCTCGGGTGTGAAACAGACGTTTGAAACGTGTTGGTTTGTGGCTTTTCTGAGACACCGTTCACATCCTGTCGTTTCACAGGGCGTCGGCATGTGCTTTGCAGTGAGTCTAAGATGAGACAGTGGGTTCAGAGCCTGAGTGGGCTCAGGGGCTCCCCGGAAGCCTCCCGCTTCGTGCCCAGCGCTCGGGCGATTGACTGGAAGGGCCTGGCCTGTGGCGGGCGGTCCCAGCCGCCCGGAGCTTCTAGCCTAGGCTCAGCCACGAACTGCCGGCGCTGCCTGAAGGCTCAGCACCTTCCTTCCCACACCTTGGGGTGGCTGAGAAAGGCGCGAGAGGCAGGCGATGTAAAATATTGGTCCCCATCAGTGACGACGGCTTCCTTCAGGAGCTGGCTGCGGGAGGGCCTGTGGTTTGGGGAACAAACATGCTGTTGGGCTTCCCAAGGGGTGGCTGAGGCGATCCTGAGTTAACAGCCGGAAAACAGCCGCGGGCGGCGCCGGGGAGCCGGCCTGCACGCAGGGCCGCGGTCCAGTTAGCGTGTGTGCCCGGGGCACTGACCCTCAGTGTATGACAACGTGGCCTCCGGTGCCACCTCCCTGCCCGTCCCCAGTGGCAGGGAGGTGGGGGTGCCTGGCCGGGCGGGAGCGCTCTTTCGGGCACCTCAGCGGGGGGGGCAGGAACGGCCCCTGGGGGCCGTTCTTGGCTGGGTTCAGAGCAGTTCTGGGCGGGTAAGGGCCTGCCTGTCTGCAGGGCTGACCCGGGGAAGCGCAGCCCAGGAAGGGAAGCGCACGCCGGTGGCTTCTCTTCTCATCGTGCTCAGAGCTGGGGAGGCACTTGCCCTGGGAACTCCCTCGCGGCCCATCACCCCTCTCCTCGTCCATGCGTCCCTGCCTCACCCGCCCCCTTCCTCCAAGGAACCAAAAACAAAAGACAAGGATGGTTATCTCTGGGAGTCCCTGGGGTTTGAGTGACCAGGGCTGTTCGTTACAAACGAGGCCAGACAGAGGGAGGCTCGTCCGCAGGCTGGTTCCCAGTCTGCTCCCCGGGTACACCCAGAAACCTGGAGGAGCCTCCTGTCTTTCCAAGCCGGGGGACGAGCTGGGTGGGAAGCACCTCCGTCTTCCGTGGAAGCAGCAGGGGCAGGAGGCGAGGTGGGTGGGTGGGCTGAGGCGGCTGTGGTTGGTGAGAACAGGGAACACAGCCGTAGGGGCTCCCGTCCCTCGCAAATGGGCGAGTGATGTGGCTGTATTACAGGATGCGTTTCTTTGCCTTTGGCTGTTCAGGGCCCTGCTGGGCTCAGGCTACGTGACCAGAGAGGAGCATCGGCCCCCGCCACCCCCAGCTGTTGTTGCTCCAGGGAAGCTGTAGGGCAGCCTGGCTAACGGACCACCCGCCCGGGATCCTGCTAAAGAGCCGCCATGTTTCTTTTGATCCCACAGAGCAGCAGAGAGTGATGCTTCTCAGCAGGTCGCCCTCCGGGCCCAAGAAGTACTTTCCCATCCCCGTGGGGCAGCTGGAGGAGGAGGTCCGGGTCCGGTCGGCGGACGAGTGTAAGCGGTTCCGGGAGGAGTTCACTGTGAGTTGGCGCGTCCCTTCTGCCTCCTTGTCGTGTGGTCGGGAACTGGGAAATGCAGGGGTGTAGTTAAGGTCCACACCCCAAGGACTGAGAACCCCCGCATCCGTTGTAACACTGTCCCCAAAAACAGGGGGCCCGGGAAACCACATTCCGGCTGCGTGCCCTCCACGGGCGCTCGTTCCTGACCCGGGAGACGGGGCGGGGATGTGAGTCTCCTTCCAGCGCAAACACTGCGAGGGCCGCGCTGTGAAACCCCCTGTGGCTGAGATGCTGTGGTCCCGTTGACGCGGAGGACCAGGCCCGAGAGACCGCAGTGTGGCCGGTTTTCTCATGGGAAGCCCTGGAGCTTCTGAGAGCTCGGACTCCCAGCCACGGGGGCGGCCGCACTTCCCCTGGCCACCATGACAAGGTCAAGTCAGCATGGTGGCGCGGCCTGGAGGGACGTGGGCTGTGCCCCGGCCACTCTCTGACGCCCGCCTGAGTCAGTACCACCTGTGTCCCCGCTGCTGCTGCTGCTGCTGCTTGGACTTGGATGCATTACCTCCATGAACTTGGCCATGGCAGCAGCTAACTGAGACGGACTTAACCAACTGGCCCAGTCCTAACGGGAGCAAACAGCGGCTGCTAACTCGCCGCCAGCAAGGCCAGTGCGTTAAGGGCACCTCCCCTTGCAGTGTTAATTTTTTATTTCCTGTCCTGTGAATCCGATAGACAGACAGACAGATGTAGAGGTGGGCAGGGAGTTGGAGCCGCTGGAAGGTGCTGTCCTGGAGTTTGCTCTTCGGTGTTTGTCCATCGGGTTTGGGTCCTGCATCTTCCACATCTTGTGCGTGGCCAGCGTGAGGCGTGAGCTAGGACGCGCCCCCAGCAGGGTGCCCACCTGCCTGGGCCCCGCCTGCTGGGCCCCAGCCCCGGCACGTCAGTCAGCTGCTCCTGGAAGCGGCCTCCCTCGCTTGCGTGTGCGGGGGCTGGGCGGGCGCCTGCCTGGATGACCTCAGGGCTCCAGCGTGAGGCTGAGACAGGGGACTGCGTACACAGCAGAGTGTTGTGCAATCGTCACAGTGAAAGATGGCATGACTCCCGCTGCACACCCGTGACTTTTCACACTGAAGCCACCAGGAGAGCACGGAAAGTTGATGGCACATCTAAATGTACTTTGCTTATTTCTTAGCACAAGGCTCGTCTGCCTCTATCATGCTTCCTTTTAATTGTTTCCAAACGTGTCCCCCTTTTGGAGAAATTAGGTCATATGGAAAGACATCTCCAAGCCGTATTGTTTTGCGATCTCTCGGACTGATAAGAGAAGTTACTTGTGCATTCTCGAGATAACTCTCCAAGTGACACGCGACGAGGCTTTCCCCCTCCCTCCCTGTCCCATTGCCCCGGCGCTGTCCGTCCCTGCCAAGGCGGGCGTAGGCCCCTGAGTCGCAGCCTGCCGGCCCTGCCGCGCCCCAGGTACGGGCAGCCACCAGGCCGAGGCTCTTCCCTGGCTGCAGAGTTCGAGGAGGCGCCCAGACACTCAGGCCCCATGACATGTTAGTGCAACGTTTAAAAATACCCGAATGAATGCAGGCGGTCCGCGCAAAACGCAACGGCACGCGTGTCACGAACGACAGGACCGTCTGGCTGACCTTCCCGTTCCTCCAGGCTCCAGCGTGGCGTGTCAGTGCACGCTTACTGCTCCTGCCCTGGTGTGAAAGTTTGATGGTTTGGCCACTATGGGTTTTTGGCGTTAATTTTGACTTTTTAAAATGTTGCACTCGCCCATTAGTTTATTTTGAATCCTGAGGTCTTAGATTTCGCTCCCCAGACAGGTGCCTCGCTGCTCCGGCCCCACCCCGTCCCCACCCTCGGGCAGCCTTCCCAGCGGCAGCCCCTCCGCCCAGCCAAGGGCAGGTATCGCCATGGCAGAGGGGACCGTGCGGGACTTGAGTCACTTGAGTCTAGCGGCGTGGAACCTGGTCCTGGCTCCAGGGACCCTGGACAAGCTGCTTGTTCCTTGCTCCGTGGGCCCCAGTTTGCTGTCTTCTCGCGAGAGGGACAGCGGTGGCCTGAGCTATGTCTGTGCCTCGTCCCTCTGCTAAGGGCCGCGGAGCCGCCAGGACCGGCCGCCTCTTGGCTCCGCAGACAGACCCGCTTGGCGCGGACCCTCACCCCGTTCCTCTTCCTTTCTCGCCCGCTGCCCCGCGCTCCTCTCCCAAAAGCGGCCGAAGGGGGATTGAGTCTCAAGGAGGAGGTTCCCAGAGCTCGGACGCGTGCGCCCCGCTGATCGGAGCGGAGCCGAGCCTGAGGAGGGCACAGCGCACTGGGTGCAGGGACCGGTCCGGGGGCTGACGGAGGTGGGGGTGTGGGCGGCAGCCTGCACGAGCCCCTGCCGCTGCCCCTGCCCCGTCCGCTCCCTACCCGCCCGGGGACCAGGCATCTGGCTGAATCTCAGCCTCGGTTTCCGCATCTGGGAAACGAGGGAGCTCCTGCGCCCCGAGGGCTTTCGTACACAACCTGTGAAAGAGGCAAGGCATGTGCCCGCCTTGGCCCAGGGCGCCCTGAGGGAGCGGGGCCTGCTGTGTTTTCAGGCAGCTTCTGTGCCTTCCAGCCTCGCCCTCTGCGCCCCGCAATGGTTGACCGCTGTCCTGGCCAAGTCCGCCCAGGCTCCCGGTTAGATCTCTTAGGTGTGTGCCCTCCGGGCCAGGAAAACGCCCTCTCCACACAGGTGCTCCCGGGAGCCTCCGTCCCAGCCGTTGCCGAGCCCGGCCCAGTCGGGAGGTTGTGGAGAGGCACGGGGGAGCGGTCCCAGCCCGACTCACAAGCCAGAACCGTCCCCTGGGCTTGCGGGACAGCCCACGCCTGGCTCCCCGTCTGCTTTCCTCAGTCTATTGCCGGCCCCCCAGCACGGCAAACACACGCTGGTTCATGGGCACATTCATGGAAATGAAATCTCACCTCAACAAACAAACAAGCCCTCTTCAGCCAATTGCATAACCGGGCAATGAATCACACGGTGTTGCTGACCCACGGCTACGTGCACGGCTCACGCTCGGCCCTGCGGGGGGACCCAGCTCGGGCGCAGCCCCCCGCCCCCCCACAGCTGTCCCGGGCCCTCAGCACCACCCCGGCTGCGGGCGGTGGGAGGCCCGGGCAGGCTGTTCGCAGGTCGGCGCGCTGGGCTGCTCCGTGCGGCCGGCAGGCAGCGGGCGTGGCCCGGGCTTGGCATCCGGACACGTGCTAGGTGCCCGGAGTGTTTGGTTTCTCTCACCCCGAGGGACATTCTGTGCCGCCCACAGAGCCGGCATCGTCACTCTGTCTCCATCTGGGGCAGATGCCAGGCCAGGCCTTCAGGGTGGCAGAGCCGGGCCCCTCCTCGCCTCGGAGACCCCTCCCGCCACCCCCGCCCACCGCCCTGCCACCACAGCGCCTTCCGAGGAAGGCGGGCTTCTTGGGGCTTCTCTTTCTCTCTGATTTCCTATTTTTAAAGCAGTTTTAGGTTTACCGAAAAATCGGTCGTGAAGTATCCAGTTCAGTGATTAGCCCATTGCATTAGCGAGCTGTTTGTTACAACTGACCGGTAATGAATCTGTCATAACTGACGAGCCAGGGGCGAGTTGTGGCAGTCGATGAGGTGACAGGAGCTGGCCGGCACCCCATCGGGTGCTAACTCTGCGTTTTCTTCCAGGCGCTGCCGTCTGGACACACTCAAGGGACTTTTGAGCAGGCCAATAAAGAAGAAAACAGAGAGAAAAACAGATACCCCAACATCCTTCCCAGTAAGATTTCACTTTTCTTTGCGCGGTTGGTGGCGTTTTGGCGAAACTCTGGGTTCCCTCGCCGCCCTGGGGCACGCGCCGGTCCAAGCGAGCGGCAGGACGCGCCGGGGCCCGGAGGTCGGCGCCCCATCAGCAGAGCTGCCCGGCCTTCGGTCTGGCGCGTTGGCCGCTGTCTGCCACGGGGACACAGGCGGCCCGCGCTGGTGAGGGGCTGGCCGCTGAGCCTGTGCTTAATGGGGCTGCCCAGGAGCCTTGGGGGGGCCGCCGGCACCGCACCTGATCCTGAGTCCCAGCCAGGGTGGCTGGTGGCCCTGGGCATCTCCTTGTCTTGGACTCAATGCTGTTGGCCACCAGCAGCAAGTCCTCTGGACCAAGTGCAGAAATGACAAATGAGAAACCTGTAGGCCTTGGGCCACGTTGTGGGAACGTTTCCGACCAAAACCGCAACAGCTAAACGTCGCCGCGGGCTGCAGAGCGTGGGCTAGAGGAGGTGCTGGGCCGGGGAGCTGGCAGATCCCTCTGGGCCATGGCCCTGGGTGGCCTTCACGGCCGGCCTCGCGGCCAAGACAAGCCCCCGAGTTCCCGGCTGCCTTTGTAAAAGCTGGCCTGGGAAGGCTGCGGGGCTCTTCATCCAGCCTGGACGCCTGCCCCGTCGGCTCTGCCTGGCAGACTCACGGTGTGGAGGGTCCAGGAGCCTGCTGAGGTCAGGTCTGCGCCCCGAGCCCGAGGCCCCTCCTGGGGCGGGCACGGCGCCCATGCGGCTGAGGAGCCCCCGTGAGCCGTCTCCAGCAGCTGGGCTCTCGGCCGCGTTTGTGGGTTAGACGTGAGTCCACCGCCCTGTGGGTAAGAGGAGCCGTGACCCGCCCGATTTCTGTCGTCTCTGGGTGCTCCGGTCTCGAGAGGAAGAGCCCTTTCCCATTTTGCCTGCTTCTAATTTATGTGGGGCTTGCAGAGACCCTCGACCCTCTGATCCAGTGGAAACGTGGGCGATTAAGCAGCGTCCTCCACCCCGCCCATGGGTGTAGAGGAAGCCAGGGAGCCCCAGGGAGAGGGGACAGGTGGCCGCTGTGGCCCCGCGGCCAAGCTGTGAGGGGCGCGGGGACCGGGGTTGGCTCCTGGACACACTGTGCGGGCAGCACCGAGCAGCTTTGCTGCTGGACTGGGTGCAGGGGACAGGGGACAGGGGGAGGTGTGGGTCAGGCTGCGGCAGCGCAAGGAGGGGCCCCAGGAGGAGGCTGGGGGTCTTTGGAATAATTGTGTCAAGTCAAAACCGGGATGTTGGAAATTAGTGACCGTTATTAGTGCACTTCGGTCAGTTAATCAGCTTAATTCGCGCTCGGATCGGCAGAACAGGCATCTGGCGGGGGGGGGGGGCTGCTCTGGGCCAAGCACTTTCCCAGGCTCCGGACCCACGTTTCTCGTCACTAAGCCCCTTCTCCTTTAAGAGTGGTTTCGGTGGGCCTTCCGTGGGGGCGGAACAGTTGGCCCAGTGCGGGGTCACCTGCATCGCCGTCCCAGGATGGGCCCCCCGGCCCCTGACAGCCACCAGCCGGGAGCAGCAGGGCTCCCTCCCTCCCTCCACCCCAAGGCTGCATCCCGCTCATGCTGGGGAAGGAGGTCGGCCTTCGAGGTGAGCTCGAAGCGTGACAGGGGACAGAACAGGCTCTTCACACGTCCCCCCCGAGAAGTCCTCCCTCGCCACCTCAGCCCCTCCCAGCCCGGCGGCTCCCCGCCAGAGGAAACCAAGGGTGCTGGTGGTCACCGAGGGCCGGGGACCGTGCCAGGATGTGACGCATTTCACGTTGCTGGGACAGTGGTCAGACGGAATGGCAGTGTGGAGACGCTCGGATGGGCTCCGGAGGTGGCCCGCTCGGTGGCACCCGGCCATTGGCATCAGCAAAACACAGGACGAATGAGGGGGGTGTCTGATTTCTTTGAAATTGGCCAGAGACGCCCTGCGTCCGGCCAGGAGCCAGGACAGTGTGGGCTGGATCAGGGGACATTGTGCAGGGGACAGAGAGACCCTGCTCTTCCTCAGGGTGGGTTTAGGGTCCACAGGCGGGGAGAGGGGCCGAGGCCTGACTTCTACCACCCCGGCACCTTCCCCGCCTCTCCCCGTCTCCCCCAAGCCCAGGCCGGCTGTGAATTTACCAGATTTTCAAGCTGTCCCCCACCCCGCGTGGGAAGCCCAGCCACAGATGTGGCCCCCGCCCCCTGAGTTCTGAGAACAGAGCTCAGGACACGATGCTGGGTTGTCCTAGGGCCTGGCCTACGGAAAGGCAAGAGAATCCTATTTTCTGGGAAATGCCTACAGCTGATAAATTTAGGAAATAATGTTTTGAAAGTGAACTGTGGCTTTTAGAGTAGAAAGACAGGAAGCTCGTAAACCTGCAAGATTCTGGGTCCAACCAGAGTCTATTTTTCGCCTTCTGCTTTCTATAGCTGTCCTCAGGGTGTGCCTGCTTTTCCCTGGTTTTCCCCGGCTCGGCGCCCGGGGCCTGCTCACGGTGGCCAGCCCCCGGCACGGGGTCGCGCGGCCCCGTCCGCACAGGCTGCTAGTTTGGGCTGTGACACCCTGACCGCCCCCTGGGGGCCGTCGCTGTCCCTGAGGATTGCACGGGCCTGTCCTCTGCGTGCAGCAGGACAGAGCTGGTCTGGGGATAGGATGCCCAGCCCACGGGTGTCTGAGGCCGCCCGCCACCTTCCAGGTGGACGATGGGCAACAGCCATGACCCGGGGGCTCTGCCCAGGTCCCTACCACCCAGGCACCCCCCCCCCATTAGCTTCAGTCCTGTGCCCACGAGGAGGGGGCAGAGCAGGGACAAAGATGCAGAATTATTCAATAATCAATGACACGGATGCAAACCGAACAGCCACCGTGCGCCCAGTGCCGAGCTGGCAAGCAGTGACGCCGAGCAGCTGCGTTCGGGCCGGCCGGTCGGGGCCCCGTGAGGGACCTGTTCCTGGCGAGGCCAGTGCCGCACGCCGCACGCCGCACGCCGCCCAGGCCCAGGCTGGGACACAGGGCTGTCAGGGACCCGGGAAACGTCTCTCCTCCCCGAAACGCAGAAAACGCATGTGGTTGCCATGCAGCCTGGCCGACGCCCATCGTCACAGCAACCGCTAACACGGCTGTCAAGGCTCGAATGTTTGTTGTGAAGATGGGGCCCGTGAAGGCAGAGGTGACCAAGACCTGCTGAAGTCACAGCAGGGCTGGTTGGAACCGCCGCAGCGTGTGCGCGTGTACGCACACACACTCCCGAAGCACACGCGCATGCCGCATACGCTCACACACACCGAAGCTCATACCACACACACAGACACACACTCACAGACACTCATACACACGCACCTCACACACAGGCACACCCCGTACACAAGATGCGCACACCCCCTCGCAGGCTCACACACGCTCCCACGCCCCTCACATCCACACTCACGCTCCGCACACACACTCGTGCGCGGTGCCCCTGCTCAGCGCTCCTCCCCGGGAAACGGCTTGTCCCCCGGCCGGACTCTCCCAGGCAGGTGGCCCACCAAGCCCACGTTCCTGTGTGTCCTGCGTACCTTCCTTCCCGCTGAGGCGCACCTGAGGGCTGAGAGCTGGGGTCTGCAGCCCCAGACCGCAGACCCCGCTGTCTGCTTGTCTGGCCGTCGCCCGCCTGCCCCTGGAGAGCCCGGGAGAGTGGCCCCCAGCAGGACCCCGAGTGCCCCCGCGCTTGTCCGCATGGGGGCCGCGCCTGTGCTGGTTGGCATCTTGGGGGCGGGGCGGGCCTGCTGTGGACGCTGAGGCTCTAACCTCTGAGGGCGCCCCTCAGGGACCGCCCGGGGAGACCCGCTGCGTCCTCGGCAGCGCTTGACACGGCAGGTGGGAGTGCGTGTGGGAGCTGTGACCTGCTTGTCCTGACGCCGTGTCGCTCTTTTTAAACAGACGATCATACCAGGGTGGTTTTGAGCCAAGTGGACGGGATACCCTGTTCAGACTACATCAACGCTTCCTACATCGACGTAAGTCCTCCGCGGCCCTTTCCTGGCCAGGGCGACGAGCCCAGCTGGGCCGCTGGGGGGCTGAGTGGGAATCGTGCCCGATGGGCACTTGCTTCTGCCACAGTCTCGCCGGGCAGCCTGGCCACAGCGCAGACGGCACGGCAGCATCCACGCCTTTCAATCCGTGTGTGTGCGCTGGGGTTCGTTCTCAAGAAGCATAAGCCCCAAAAGTGTTTACTACGGCTCTGTTTATATTTCTGACAAAACAGAACAGGAGGGGCCAGGGAAGTAAATCGTGGTAAAACCGCACCCAAGGATTATTACGACTCCATTTTCATTGAACCTCAGAAAATCGTTTAACATAAGTTATTAAATTACCACAGCAATACAGTGTAGGAGAATCTGTGCATATAAACCAATTAAAAATATACGGATGTGTGTCTGCCTGTGTGTGTGTCTCAGAAAGCGTTCCCAGAAAAAGAGGCTGGAAAAAGACATACAAAAATAGCTTTTGTTATTTCTGAAGTTACTGGTGAATTCTGCTCTTACTTTTTTGTGTGTGGGTTTTCCAAATGTTTCATCATGAATATGTATTGCTTTCCTAACAACAATAAAGATCTTTTTCAGAAGACAATTTTGAAAAATTATAAGTCAGATTTTATTTTCCCAGGGTTACAAGGAGAAGAATAAATTCATAGCAGCTCAAGGTAAGCTTGTGCATGTCACCTCTCGCTTATCCCACGCCCTTACACGCACGCACATGCACACACGCGCGCACACGCACACACACGCCCGTTCTGGTTCAGCTTCTGGAGTGGGGGCTGCTGCTCTGAGACTCACCAATACTGAGTGGCCGCAAGCCACTCGGACACGCCACTGCCCGCCCATCCGAGTCCCTGTCGCCGCCTGTTAACTAACCTAACTGGGTCCAGTAACTTAGCTCCCTGTGGACTGCCCCGCTCCCGGGGGCAGCGCGGGGCACAGGGTGACGGGCGGGTCCCTCCCAGGCCACCGGCTCTGGGGTTCTGTAGGGTGCACACAGGACCCGCCGGCCTTCCGCGCCTCAGCGCGGCGGGAGCCGCGTCCCGGGCCCGAAGGCCAGGGCGCCGGGGGCTGGGCCCGCACCGCCTCCCCCCGCGCCTGACTCCGGGCCCCTCCTCCACCCACAGGCCCTAAACAGGAGACAGTGAATGACTTCTGGAGGATGATCTGGGAACAGAAGACTGCGACCATCGTCATGCTGACGAACCTGAAAGAGAGGAAAGAGGTGAGCCCCGGACACGGGAATGCTTTCTTGCTGCTGCTGCTGCTGCTGCTGCTGCTGCTGGGAGGTGTGTGTGGGGGCCGGGGGGTGTGGGCTGGGGTTACCACTTCCTTTTTACTGTTTCTCTCCCTTCTTATCACTGCAGAAGAAAAAAAAAAAAAAAAAACGCCCCTGGCTCAACAGCATTTTTATCTTGAAATAAATGCTGTGTTCCAAGTAGCTGTCGACATAAGAACTGTCCGAACCGGCTGTGAATTTTGGGGAGTTTGTTTGAGCCAAGCTAATGGCATTGCTGGGAAGCGACATCTCAAGGGATTGAGAAAACGCTCAGGCGAAGGGCTGTTTTGCTGCTTATTTTAGAATTGAAGGAGGAGACATAAAATCCGTCGGTGGTAGGTTAGGGAGGCAAGAGAAAGCAAAGCAGGGAAACCTCTGGGATTGGATAAAAAGCGCAGTGGAGAAGCACAGGCTTTCTTTACATTGGAGGGCACGGTCGCGTTAATAATTAACAGCGCAGTGCGCCGATTCGGGGTTCAGGAGACAAGGTAACAGTGAGGGTTTCTCTGGTCTCTCGTGCCCCGGTGGGCGACTGTGTCCTGAGGGGCCTGGAAATGGGGCAGATAGCTCTGACATTCCAGAGACACGTTAGGTAGATGCAGGACCAGAGACAGGCTGGCTTAAGGTGAAGAGCGGCCTTTGCAGAGGAAGCTACGGCCTAGGACGTGAGCACCCACCAGGCCTCGCTCGCAGCTAGGAATTTCTACGTCCTTCTTACGTGGCTACTTTCGGCCTCTGGGCTCAGTTTTCGTCTCCACCCTGCTGGCCTCGCCTGAGAGCGTCAGGTTAGGCTTTGGCCCCTTCTCCGCCCCCATCGCTCACTGTCGCAGGCTGCGGTACGAGGGCCCAGGGGCCGGCCGGCTGGCTGGGCTTCAGCATTTTTCACGTCTCGTAGGTTGAGCGTGTACCGTGCCGGGCCTCAGACCATAAATAAAAACGGCTTCCTGCTTGTGATCTAGGCAAGAGAGATGCATTTGAAAAATAAGATACACTGAACGAATGCTGAGTCCACTATACTTAATCAGCTGTTTCTAATTCAAAAAGTAACGTGTGTATGAGGACTCAAAACCTCTTAAAAGAGGCCCGGTAAACAGGTTCACTTCCCACGCAGGGCAAACGTTTGCCCGTGCCTCCCGGTCAGCGTCGCGGACGTAGGCAGCGTCTGGCCAGCGCGCCAGCCACCTCCCGCGATTTGTGACCCGCTGGGAGGGGCTGGCACCAAGCAGAAAGCAAACAAACGTGGACTGTCGGGAGGTGACATAAAAAATAACGGAGCACGAAGGGCGCCGAGGTGTCCCGTCGGGAGGGGCTGAGCCAGCCCGGCGGAGGGCCAGGCCAGGCGCAGCCTGGCTGTGCCCGAGAGAGGCCTTTTCACGGCTCCGAGCCTTCGCTTCGGGCAAAGGGGCCAAGGAGCGTTGTCAGGTTCCTGCAGCAGGAAGGAGGGGGACAGGGGGACAGCCCCCAAGGGCGTGGCTGGGGGTGCCAGCAGCTGCCCACTTGGGACCACGCTGGTGCTGGGCCCCCAAGACTGGAAGGACTTGTACCAAATCCCACCAGACAGGAGCTCAAGGGGCGGCGGAGTGGGCTGTGAAAGCTTGCGTATCTTTCCGCACCCCCCAGGCCGGTGCCCACGCCGGGCCGGACTCTGGAAAGGCACCAGGGTGCCGGGCTAGGGGCTTGAGGGGCTGGCTGAGGCGGGGGGAGCAGGGGCTTGTCTTTTATGAAGGGCCTCGTTCTCAGGAAGGAAGGAAGAACGGGGAGCTGGAGAGAGACTTGTGGAGGTGGGGAGCCGGTTCCAGCATGTTCTAGCCTGAGGGCAGAGCGGCGGCGTGGGCGCGGCTGAGAGGAAGGCCCGGCTTGGCGGGGACGCCGGGCCAGGCACGCGGCCCCAGAGGTGCTGATTGCTCCTCTGTCACTCACTGGCAGGGGACCAGCGGGCCTGTGCCCCGCCAACCAAGCCCAGGTGGCATGGCCGAGGCTCGGGGAAGGGCTGCCCTTCGGGACGGAAATAACCGGCCCGGGGTCGCCCAGCGGGTGTTTGGGGCGAGAGGCTGGGCCTGGACTCCGCGGGGCAGGAGGTACTGAGGCGGCCCCCAGAGCCATTGTCACTGCCATGCAGGAAATGGCCTCCAACCACGTTCGTTTCCGGTTGGGGAGGAGTTGGGACAGAGCTGGGGGGTGGGCCGCCCTTCTCTGAGGGAGCCCTGCCGCTGGAGGGGGCTGGGGGGTCCCAGGGCCACGTAGCTGGAGGGTCCCCACGCCCTGAGTGGATGCTGCGGCAGGGCCCCCATGACCAGCCTGGCTGGGGTGGGGGAGGGGTGGGCTTGTTAGCGAGTGTGAAATACACAGAGCCCCCGCCAGGAGCGGCGAACGCCCACCCCCCCGCCCCGCCCCCGGCCCAGCCCCGGCCCAGCGCCCCACTGCGGCTGTCGCTGCAGTTTTCCGTGTGATGTCACTCGGACCCTCCCGCCAGATTTTTCCATTCCTGTGACTCAGAGCGGCCGCTGGCTCCGGCCGCCCCCCGACCCGCTCGCCGGTCCACATTGAATCATTTCTCAACAGAGTTCCCTTTTTTTCACTGCTCCACTTCTGCTGTGGCCGCCCGGCTTCAACACCCGGGCGGGATGTTGGGAAACGCAGCTGCTCTGTCATCTCGCGGCCTGGCGTGCAGGGGGGGACTGTGGCCGCGGGGGCGGCGGGGGCCCAGGGCACGTACACAGCGCACAGCGAGCCCGGGGCCGGGGCTCGGGGGAGGGCCTCTCAGGGCGAGGCGCTTGGGGGGGCCCGGGGGCCCCCGGGAGGCCGAGACTGGCCCGCACCGGGGCCTTTGGGGTTCGCTTGTCTGGGGGCCACGTCAGAGACAGCCAGGGCCCGGAGGTAGGGGGACGCGTTCCGTGGGTGTCCTCCCACAAGTGCTGGGCTCTGGTGAATGCCACAGCCCTTCTGAGTTGTAGGGTCATCAGTCCTCGTGACAGGCGCCCTCGCTGTGCCCCGCGTGGGCCGTTTCCAGGGTCACTGTCCCATGTTTAGGAGGCCACTGCCTCCCGGAGGCCGGGCCCAAGCAGAACTTCGGCCGCCGCAGGTCCCCACGCTCAGGAGGGCTGGCCGTTGGTCAGGTGCCAGGCCGCCTGGACTGCAGCCCGGGAGCCGGTGGGGGCCTTCCGTAGCGGGGAGGGCAGGGTGGGGCGGAAAGCGGGTGCTGTGCGGCCCCGTGCCCAGGCCTGCCGTGCCCGCCCCGGCCCTTTCCTCGCTGGGGGAATGAGGGGCTTTGCCACCCGAGACGGCGGACTGGCCTGGCGCCTGTCATGTCCGAGCTTAGGAGCTGAGCTGGACAGAGCCACCTGCCAGACTCACTGGGAAGTGTTTGGGGAACACAGAGTCCCAGGGGCCGGGTGCGCACCCCGCGGCCTGGGGGCCAGGCTTGGTCAGGGTCCCGGCCCGGCAGGGCGCGGGCTCAGCCGGAAGGTCCAGGAAACCTGTGGGCTTCGTGACGGGTGAAGGCGTGAGACCTCCGGACGGCGGAATCGGAAAGGCCGGTGGTAGGCTCAGGGCTGCCCTGAAGGAGCCGTGTGGCCTCAGTGTCCCCTTTCATAAGCAGATAGTGGCTCGTGCCCTGTCCCAGCCCCAAGCATGTTTGGTGGGAACCTGGCGTGTGTGAGGCCCAGGGTGACGGCAGGGGACACAGCGCCCACCAGCCTCCCGTTCCGTTCGATTGTCCTGCGCAGGAGAAGTGCTGTCAGTACTGGCCGGACCAAGGCTGCTGGACCTACGGACATATCCGGGTCTGCGTGGAGGACTACATGGTCCTGGTGGACTACACCATCCGCAAGTTCTGCGTCCAGTCGGTAAGCGCCCGGCGTGACCCGCGCTCGGGGAAGGCAGTTCTCCACCAGGGACGTGTGAGAGTAACCACGGGTGCACGGTTCATGACGCGGAGAGCTGCGTCCCTACCCTCGGGCGTTGCCCCGCCCCGGCTCTGCCACCCACCCCCCGCTTTGCTCCCCGTCCCCCAGCACTCCAGCGGCTCTTGCTGAGTGGGGCCGAGGCCGGAGGATGTGCCCGACGGGGACAGGGACGGGAAGGGGACCGGGACGGGCGTCAGTGGTCCGAGCACGTGGGTCTACAGCAGAGGTGCCCAGGAGCCCTCACACAGTGCCCGGCGCTCCGGGCTCCCCGGGGCTTTCTGGGCGGAGGAAGTGAGGCAGCCCGAGGGGCGGGGGCCCCTGGCCACAGTGCTGTCTCACACACTGGGATCACAAGGCAGGATTTTTTGTTAACAGTTTCAAAATTACATATGAAACTTCCTCATTATCTCCTGCTGATTTCCCCCCGAAGGTTTTGAGGCAGAGCCCAGCAGAGATGCCTGTATGTATACGAGATAGAAAACATAAGAGGCTTTATATTCAAAACCAGCGAGCACGGAAGGTCCTGTTATCAGGAATGAAAAGTAGATGATTGGCATTGTTAGATCCCAAACTTTGAGGCTGAGGTTTCTAGAAGCCATGGCAAAAAAAAGGGAAGGTCAGCTTTGCCATTCTCGCCGACCCCTGCGCGCCTCCCTCCCAGGCCCTTGCATACACACACACCAGACAGACAGCGTCCCGCGCATGCATGTATGCACGCACAGGCATGCACAGACATGGAGATAACACATGTGCACGCAGGTGTGCATGCACACAGATACACAGCTAAAACGTGCATGCACAAGCAGGCATGCACGTACACACAAGGCACGCACGCATGCACGCCCTCAGATACACCGTGGTCCGGGGCAAACTCAGGCTTTGGGTAACAACATCCAAGGGACTTTGCGGAGGGTCCAGGGCGTCTCCTACGAGTGGGCCAACAGCCTCACCTTGTCCTCCCACTGCAGATGCTTGGGAGTGGACGTGTGTGCTGTGCGTAATCAAAGGGGGCCCCAGACTAAGAGGGCGGCCACCTGCTTACCTGCGGGGTCCCTGAGTCCCGGGCCGGCTCTAGGGATGCGTCTGGCTGCCCGGAACCTGCGTGGGACCCGTGCCGGGGGCCTCTGCTCCTCTGCCCACGTGCACAGCCACAGGGGCGCCCGCCCCGCCGTGGGCCTGTCCGCGGCTGCCCCAGCTGGGGGGGCGGGCAGCGCGGGGATGGCTGGCCCCCGCGCATCCCCGTGTCCCTCCCTGCAGCAGCTCCCGGATGGCTGCAAAGCCCCGCGGCTCGTGTGCCAACTGCACTTCACCAGCTGGCCGGACTTCGGGGTGCCTTTCACCCCCATTGGGATGCTCAAGTTCCTGAAGAAAGTGAGGACGCTCAACCCCGCGCACGCTGGGCCCATCGTGGTCCACTGCAGGTACGCCGGGCTCAGGGCGGCGGGGGGCGGAACCCCCAGCCCGCAGGCACGGGCGGCTGCCTGGGGACCGCGCCCCTCGCGCATTCCGTGGTAGCCGCACCCTCCCATCATAGGCACCCGAGGGGGACCCCAGTCCCCAAAACAGGCGCGCGCTGAGAGGCCCGGCCTGACGGTGGGAATGGGACCGGCAGCTCCCCTCAGCCTCCCCTTCACGGCCCCCAGGGGCCCCCGAGTCACCCCAGGAACAGAGAGGGGGACCACATTTCCACAAGGAGCCCCCCCCCCGAGTCCTGCTGTAGGAGCATGTGAGGCTCGGCGGGCACAGTGCGTAAACAGCGGCCACAGGGCCCGGCTGGTGTGCGGGGACCTGGGTCTGCCTCCAGGCTCACCCCAACACCCACCCCCCCACCCCGCCTCGCCGGCTGTCCTTGCCCCGCACATATCTGTTAGGCGGGGAGTCTTTACCTGGCTCTGCACCTGCCGATTTATTTATCTCTTACTTTACAAAGGTAAGACTCCTGAGGCCCTTCCTCTCTCATCTGCCCTCTGCGTGGGGTGGGGGGCCCCATCCGAGGGTGTCTTCACTGTCCCTGCACCATACTGGGGACTGGCAGGAAAGAGCGGTGCTGTCCTCCCCGCCAGAGGACAGTGGGGGACTTCATGAAGTTGTGAGTCTTTTGTTAAGAAGATCGCTTGCCAGCCCTGGCCGTTTGGCCGGTGTGGCTCATTTGGTTGGCGCGCCGTCCGGCACACCAAAAGGCTGCGGGCTCGGTCTGCAGTCCAGGCGCGTGCTGTCTTCGGTCCGGGTGCTTCTCTCTTGCATCCATGTTTCTCTCTCTCCCTTCCAAAAAGAAAAAATTCCTCGGTTGAGAATTAAAAAAAAAAAAATCACTGTCCTATGTTGAAAGCCATCGGCCCGCCTGCAGAGGCTGGAGGGGAAGCCCAGTTCAGACATGGTGCGGTGCGGCCTCTGGGACAAAAGGGGGTTTATTCGTTCCAGGAATGTGTGCTACGCGCATCTGTGTGTCCGTCCGCGGGACGGGAAGGGCGGGGGCGGCAGGCGGCAACGGTGTTGGGAGGGAAGGGAATGTGAACCTGGGATCAAATCAGGGCAGCTTCCCAAAGCAGGGAGCCGCCCATCAGACATCCGGAGCCAAAGCCGCAGGTTAGGGCTAGGATGCCTCAGAGCGGCGGGTACCTCCCCCTGGCATGACCCGGCCCACAGGGCCTCTTACGGAGAACCTGGAAAAGCCATCTCTGGTGTGAAATTTTTTTTTTAAAAAAGCTGATTACACAAGTCATAACCAGCAGACGACACTTGCTCGTAGATGAAAAGTTATCTGTACAACCTCATGCAAAGCAGCTCTGTCTGATCCGCCTTCTGAGAGTTTCTAGATCATCTTTACTAAGATTGTGGCGCCCTCTGGTGGCCTCGGCGTAGACTTGCTCTTTGGTAACCCAAACAAGGTCGCGGGGTTCAGTGATGAAGTGGCAGCCACCCAATTAAGGGTGAGGCCGTCCCTCCCTCCATCCTGGCATACTGGCATGTTCTGACATCCTGTCATTTGCTTCGGGGGGAATGTGATCGGCATGTGGCATCTTTCTGTGTCCCCGAAGCGCGGGTGTGGGCCGCACGGGCACCTTCATCGTCATCGACGCCATGATGGACATGATGCACGCAGAGCAGAAGGTGGACGTCTTCGAGTTCGTGGCGAGGATCCGCAACCAGCGCCCGCAGATGGTGCAGACAGACGTGAGTCCCCCCCTCCCCGGTCCAGCCCCTCGTCCCGGCCCGAGCTTCACAAAGCCACCCAGACGCCTTCGCAGCCTGACGTCTGCGGTCCCCGGGGTGGGGGCGGGAAAGTGCCTGGGGAAGACCATCCTCAGTCACGTGGCTGTCACGTGGTCCTCACTCAAGGCCATCAACGGCCTGGCGATGGCCGTCAGTCTCACCTTTGCCCCAGACCCGCCCCCGCCCCCGCCCCCGCCCCCAAGCTGCAAGCCCAGGGCCGCCTGCGTGGTCCCCGCAGACGCAGTACACGTTCATTTACCAAGCCTTGCTGGAGTACTACCTCTACGGCGACACCGAGCTGGACGTGTCCTCCCTGGAGAAGCACCTGCAGACGCTGCAGGGCACCAGCAGCCGCTTCAACAAGATCGGCCTGGAGGAGGAGTTCCGCGTGAGTGTCCCGGCTCCCCGGGGAAGCCGCTCTGCGCGCCGCGCCGCCGCGTGGGCGGGCCCAGAGACGGCGGCCGAGCTGTCCCTCTGCGGCCCGCGGAGAGGGACAGCGCGGGCTCTCGGAGCTCGGCGGCCCCGTGTCGCGCACACTTGTGTATTTCCTGAGACCCAAGGGAAGTCTGGGGACGGAGGCAGAAGCAGGAGCCCGGCATCAGGGAGCTGGGGACCGCTCAGGAGCGTCAGCACTTTGACTGCGTGTCCGGGCCCTCTCTCACCGCAGAAGCTGACCAACGTCCGGATCATGAAGGAGAACATGAGGACGGGCAACCTGCCGGCGAACATGAAGAAGGCCAGGGTCATCCAGATCATCCCGTGTAAGGCCCCGGGCCCCAGGGTCCAGCACCCATGTGCGTGCGGGGGTTTCCCGCTGCTTGGGACCCTGGGGAGTCACTGCTCCCCCCCTCTGTATACCTGGGCCAGGGGCCAGGCACCCCCAGGGCTAAGTACTCCTGGGGGCTTCGTCAAGTGCTGGGAAGAGGACACCCCAGTGAGGCAGCGAGTGACCGGCCGCCCTGTGCGTGTCAGGCGGGCAGCTCGCGACCAGGGCTCGGCGGCGGGGAAGGGAGGGCTTCCTGGGTGCAGGGCTGGCACCCCCTTTACATGGAGCAGGAGCCCCAGCCCAGCCTCGCAGCCGAGGTCTCCCAGGAAAAGGCCTTGGGGCGGGCCAGGCCTGCGCAGGGCTGGAGCCGGGGTGCCACCCTGGGCGAGGCCTTGGGTGAGGGAGGGCCAAGGAAGGGACCGCAGCGGTCAGGGGGTGACACGGGCGGGGCTGGCCTTGAGAAGTGGGGGTGCCTCGCTGTGGCTGCCCCCCCGCCGAGGGCCCCCAGCCCATGATGCCAGCAAGGTTGTAAACAGACTTGCTCTGAAGGCCACGCCGTGTGCAGAAACTGTGTGGGGACTGTCCGTGCGAAGACTTCCCAGGCTCGGGCTCTAGAGTCGTCCCTGGCCAGCTACTCTGGGTGGCCTCCCTGGTCCCTTTCCTTTTTCCCCTTAAACACAGTATTTTTGGCGCTCTTATTTTGGTATGAATCCTCTCGATTCTTGGCAAATGGAAGCCGCACCTGGATTATTCTCAGGGCTTTCCTGGCCAAGCACGGCCTCCCTGGGCCGCCCTAATTCACCTCTTTGACAGAGTAGACCTTCTGAGGAGGTGGCCTCACTAAATGATCTTATTAGTCAGTTTTATACCTCAGAAGCTCGCAGCCGCACATTTAAGTTTGCAGGGCAGGACGTGTGTCGCTAACTAAAGGGACGCGCTGCCTTGCAGATGACTTCAACCGCGTAATCCTGTCCATGAAGCGCGGCCAGGAGTACACGGACTACATCAACGCGTCCTTTATCGACGTGAGTCCCGCAGCCCTGGCTGCGTGTGTGGGGGAGACCCCTCATCGCTAACGCTGGATTCGCTCGCCCTCACGATCAGGAAGGCTGGGAGTACCTGCAGAAACCCAAACTATTTCGTTAGAATTACTTGCTTCCAAAATGCATGACGAGCTTTGGAAATAGAGGAGATAGAGTGGCGACTAATTCACTGTTTTTTCACTCTGCCTTTAATACTTAGCTATTTTTCTGTTATCTCTCTGTGACCACTGGTTGTATAGCGGTACTTCCTCTCCCCTCCTCTCTGTTTCTGTCTCTCTGTCTCTCTCTCTGTCTCTCTCTCTCTCTCTGTCTCTCTCGCTCTCTCGTGGTTTCTACAACCCCTGCCTGCGGGACAATATGATGGGCGGAGCAAAGGTCATGGCACATGCGTTAGGGTTTCTGTTTGCAGATGAGGAAACTGTGCCAAAGATCTCCGGACCCAGTAGAGGAACTGGGATTTTGGCGACTTCCTCCAACCCCACGCGCAGGGCTCTAGGCACGCCCACGCTGCCTACTTAACCAGAACACCTGCAATGTGTTGGTGACTGGCGGCGAGGGGTCAGCATTCAGAGGAAGTGGGCATCCTGACCTGCTCCCCGCACAGGTGCCCGCGGGCCAGGGACCACGGAAGCCCGGAGCCGGCCTGTGACCTCTGCTCCCTCTCGCAGGGCTACCGACAGAAGGACCACTTCATCGCCACGCAGGGACCCCTGGCGCACACAGTGGAGGACTTCTGGAGGATGGTCTGGGAGTGGAAGTGCCACACGATCGTGATGCTGACCGAGGTCCAGGAGAGAGAGCAGGTCAGGGGCTGCCCAGTCGGGCCTCCGGGGGTGGGCAGGCACGCCCGACGTCCCGCCGCCGGAGTGGCAGGCGCCTCCCTGCAAAGGGCCCGCCTGCTGCCGGCGGCGGGGGTGGAGCTGCAGAAGGTCTCCTGCCTTCCTTCCTTTTTTTGGAAACCATAACTACCCGCCGGCTTCTGTTGTTAGATTTTGTTTAACCCACCTTGAAATCCCAGTGTTTTGTGTTTGAGCTCAACCTGTTGGAGAAAAAGACACGTATTCACTTCTTTCAAGACATAAAGACAGAGGTGTTGAGACATGCGCCTAATTGACATCACTCTGGCCGAGCCAAAAGAGTGGAGTGTCTTTATTTTCCCAGACAGCCACCCATGGCCCTCTCGTATCACATATTTATTCGATGACATAGTAAGTCCTTGTGACCCCACCATCCAGCTGAATACCCACACTTTGGCTGATAGCACCCACCTCACTAGGTGCTCCCGCAAGATGCGAGCACTGCGCTGAATTTGTGTGTTGATTCCTTCCCCTTTAAAAAAAAAACAGCTTTATTGAGATATAATTGATATAATTCACATACCATTCAATCCGTCTCTTTGAAGGACACAGCTCAGAGGTTTCTCAAGGTGAGTCCACAGAGCTGTGTGCCCGCCACCAGCCTCTCATTCCAGGTCATTTTCATCGCCACCGAAAGAAACCCCAGACCCGCGAGCAATCGCTCCCCACCGCTCCCCCTCGGTTGCCGCCGCCAACACTCACCCACTTTCAGACTCTACAGATTCGCCTCTTCTGGACATTTCGTGCAGATGGAGTCACACAGCATGTCTCTTCCAGTTGAGCTCTTTCACTGAGCATAATGCTCTCAAGGGTCAGCCGTGTGCGGCAGGAATAAGCTCTTCATTCTTTCTTGCCGACAAACACTCTTCCCTTGTCCGGCCAGGCCGCGCTCGGCTTATCCGTCCACCGGTCGATGGGCGCCTGGGTTGTTTTCCCCTGTCGGGCGACTGTGCGTCACGTTACGAACGGTCACATTTGGGTTTTCACCTGGGCGCATGCGTTCATCTCTCTCGAGCGGATGCCTGGGTGGAGGTCCTGGGCCACAGTGTCACTCTGTGTAGCAGCTCATGTCATTTACCATTCTGAGGACGTGCCAGACTGGGTTCCAAAGCAGCGGCCTCTCTTTCCAGTCCCGCCGGCCCTGTGCACGGGCTCCGGCTCCCCCACACCCCTGCCCACACTGACTGCTGTTTGTCGCTTTCATTAGCCGTCCCCGTGGAAGAGTCTTTGCTTTAAACCTTTCCCATCCCAGAGGTGCATGTGTGTACAGAAACGACGGACCGGATCCGCTCGCTTTTTGCTGCGTGTAAGGGGTATCATTTCACTGTGGATTCTTCTGGGGCTGGCTTTCCCGCCCTGGTGTTCTTCTGTGGGGACACCTCACGCTGTGTCTCACTCGCCGTCCCTTCACCCTGCGCCACCCCACGGACCACGGAGTCCTGCCGGCTGCCCGCTGCCCCCTCCGGGGGGGGGGCTGGGCCCTCACACCGGCCCTCGGGGGCGTCCATTTTCAGGGGGAACCAGGTGTTCAAGCTCCCGGCATCGGACAATCTCTCCTCTCTGCCAGCTCCGTTCTGCCCTGTATCAAAGTTCCACACACACACACACCCCTCTGTGTCATCACAGACATTCACACCTGTATTCACGTCCTTTCCTTGGTCAGAAGAAACACGTTAAATGGTTTGAGAGCCCTGCGGCATCACACAGTTGAAACCGCTGGCAGAACAGTGTTCGTTACAGACTTACACTTCCATCTCCCCCAGGATAAGTGCTGCCAGTACTGGCCGACAGAGGGCTCAGTGACTCACGGAGACATTACGATTGAAATAAAGAGTGACACCCTCTCTGAAGCCATCAGCGTACGCGACTTCCTGGTCACCTGCCGCCAGGTACGGCTGCCATCGCGACGGGAACCGAGTCCGGGCGAACCGCAGCCTCCCCGCGGGCCCCACGTCCCTGCTCCCCTGGCCCTTTCCGGAGCCCTACGTTGGTGTCAGAGCTCAGTGCAGTGATGAGGGGCCACGTTGCCCAGGGGCCGAGCTCCTGGACCATTCAGACCTCCAAGGTCCCCTGCCTTCTTGCTGGGGGACAACGGCCGGGGGGCAGAGCGGCTGACTCCAGGAGCATCCTGGGCCCCACTCAGGAGAACCGACGGTGACCGGGGGCAGGGGGAGCAAAGGGGGCATGTGAAGCCCCGGAGGCCTGGCCGGGGCCCTCTGCCTGGCGCCTTTGCAGAGCCCCTTGGCCGTCCCGGCCCCGCTGGGTCCAAGGATGGAAATGGTGTGGGTCAGTCGTAAGGGAGCTCATGGGACTTGGTGCTGAGCTCAAGGCGGCCAGCACAGCAGAGACGCCTGAAGACTTGTTTCCTCCATGCCAGTCCCAGAACGATCCAGGAACTAGACTCACACGCTGCTCATCCCGGCCCTGGTAGCTCCCAGGGGGTCCTGGCAGCCCCCAGGGGGTCCTGGGTTCTGAAGAAAGCGATGACCTCGTCTCCCGAGCAAAGCCGCCAGGGGCTCCAGGGGACGCCTCTGGGTGTCCTGCTCTCCACTCAGGAGGAAATCCTGCCGGCCCCTCCTTAGGGTGACCACAGGCTGCAGCAGCCTGCCCAGGACCCTCGGGCTGGCCGGCGGCGGGGGTGGAGGGTGCCACAAGTCCCACTGAGCTCTCAGTGTTGTCTTGAGTTCCCCCGAGGGCAGGTGGCCCCGCGGCCTGTTCCTGGGCAGAGCGGGGTGGGCACCCAGCACCAGCAAGACACCCTCTCCTTCCGCAGCCGCTGGCCCGCCAGGAGGATCAGACCCGCGTGGTTCGCCAGTTCCACTTCCACGGCTGGCCCGAGATCGGGATCCCGGCGGAGGGGAAAGGCATGATCGACCTCATCGCGGCTGTGCAGAAGCAGCAGCAGCAGACAGGCAACCACCCCATCACCGTGCACTGCAGGTGAGTCGCCGTGGCCGTGCGGGGTGAGGGCTCCCTGCTGGGGCCACTCACGCAGACCACGCACGGTTCTCAGCTCCCGGCGGCGGGATTCCCCCAGACTGCATTTTCACCCTCTCTTGCACACATACGCACTTGGCTGTACACACATGCCATCTTATCATACCTGCAGAATGTATTTAGTGGGAGGAGCTAGAAAAGGATTCGAACACATTTCCTTGTGCTTTTTAAGCCGTCAAAAAAAAAAAAATCCCCAAGCACAGCTCAGGCAGACCCACTCCTGAACTTCAAGGCGCTTGTCCTCGCCGGCAAAGGCTGTCCTGGTTCAGGGTAACTGCCCGGCTCCGCGTCCTTTCCCCTGGGAGCTGGAAAAGGAGCCGGCGCTGTAACGTCTGTGTGAGACCGGCCTGGGCGCTCTCGCGGCCTGGCCAGCAGGTGGCGCAGACGCCTCCGCTTTCACTCCCAGGTACCTTTGTAGAGGCCACTTAGAATCAACTAGAGATGAGTTCCTTCGGGTCCCATTCTGCCTCCCAAAACCCAGGCTGAGTTTTGAACAAGTTGGGCACCAGAGATACGAAGGCGAAGAGGTCCGCAGGGCAGACACGGGGACGCGCCCCCGCAGGGGGACGGGAGCCTTGGAGTCAGCGCGCCTTACTGGTCCTCCAACCTGAACAGGGAGGGCTTGCATTTCCAACAAGCGCACCCCGCGCGCGCGAGGCTGGCCCTGGGACCCCACTCTGAGAACCACGATCCTCCCCAGGGGGACGGCGCGTGGTTACAGCAGCTCACACGCCGTGACTGGGCGGGACCCCGCCCCGGAGAGCTCTGTGCGCTGTCCTCAGGCCGCGTTACTGGAGCTCTGTGAGGCTGCCTCCCGGTTAAAAGCTAAGCTGCATATAAACGGTCCTTAGAAGTCCACACGCACATGCGCCTCCCGGCGAGCCCCAGCGCCGATGTGTGGGCTCGGCGCTGTCCCCTGCATGAAGCACTTTCCCCCACAGCGCGGGCGCCGGGCGGACAGGTACATTCATAGCGCTCAGCAATATCCTGGAGCGGGTGAAAGCGGAGGGACTCCTCGACGTGTTCCAAGCTGTGAAGAGTTTACGACTCCAGAGGCCGCATATGGTGCAGACCTTGGTAAGGGCCTGAAACGATTTAAGGATGTTTCCGGGAAAATGCGCTAAGTTGAAACTAACCGTAGACATTATCTAAGTGGGAAAACAGACTCATTCGGGAATCCTCCCGTGCCCGCAAACTAAATTATGCAGCAGAGGCCGATATGCATGAGGGTACACAGTATTTTAATTAATAAATAGTCAGGCTTCCTTATGTCCTTCTCGAGTGCTTCTCCTAATTAAATTATTCAGATAATTTTAAATACCATTTTGATGTGCTTTTGGTTTTCTTTTTCAGGAACAGTATGAATTCTGCTACAAAGTGGTACAAGATTTTATTGATATATTTTCTGATTATGCTAATTTTAAATGAAAATTCCTGCCTTAAGATATTTTTTAATTTAATGGTCAGTATATTTTGTAAAAATTGTTAATTTATTTCATAGTTGACATTAATATCCTTTCTAATTTCTTTGTATATATTTTGTTATGCTTTAAGGCCACCTGCTATAAAGTTATTTCATCTTAAATGCCCCCTTTTAAAAACTGGAATAATGTATTAGGGTCAAATAATATCCCATAAAATATATATTTCTGCTAATATCAGTAAATATTTTAATTTCTCATTAGATTCATATCATCTAATTTCTCACACTCAGCACCTCCAAGTGTTAGAGATCTTAATATACCAAGTGTGCTTATGCAGAATACTAAACTAACAACATTCATTAGAAAACAGTCGAGGACTCAGAAATCAGTTGAAAATTCACTTTCTTAACACTGATTTTTTCAGCCCTGAGCAGCAGCATTTTTTTTTAAAGGCAAACAGCTCCTGAAGGTAAAGGGGTTTGTTTACCTTCACATTTTAAAGATCAAAGAAGACTTTGCAGCCTGAATCCAGGTCTGAGACACATCAGAGTAGCTGGTGACTGTACCGTGAGACTTAAATACGCATTTATCCGAGGCCGTGCCCATGCCACCCGTGACTAGGTGACAGGAGATGCCTGTGCACTCAACTCCACCCATAGCGTTGAGTGCAGCGAAAGCGGCCATCGGAGCGGCACGCCCACAGCGCCACCTGCTGTCCGTCCGCCTGTATGTGTGACTCAGGTGAAACCCACTGAGAACCAAACCAACTGCGTTTCTCATTTGCCTCCCATTGGCTGCAGCTGCCCAGCGCCGTTGGCAGGTGTCCCAGGACTCAACCTCAAACCGCTTCCCATCCCAAAAGTTCAGTTAAAGCCCAGAGTCCGACACCCACAGAAGCAAGGAGCACACGCTTGGTAGAAAGCAGGACCGCAGGCGATGGTGCCATCAACTTTCCCAGAGGCATTTTGGTACTTTAAGGCCTCTTGCAAAAGCTAAGACTGTTTGTACTAAAAGAAATCTTCAAATCTAGATTTATACAATTTTTTAAAAGTCCCGCTCCTCAATATTTAATTAAAGAAAAGAAAGAGAATTCCTTAATGCAAAGGCTAACTTATTTTTAGATGGAAATACTACTGAGACCTTGCACACTTGATACTAATGATTGGACAGCCATGTAGGATTGGTTGGGGGGTAGGAACGGGGAGGGATGGATGTAGGGAAGTTTAATTTAGTGACAGTGACATTTGCACGGCTGTTCGGTACCTAGCAGACAAGCACAATGTAAAGAAGAAGACACCTGGTCTAAACTACTGAAAGCGTTTCACGTGTGCATTTTTGGTACATTATTTGCTTTTGAAAAGACATACAAAGGCCTTCTTTGACATTTCCACTGAAAACTGATTGCACTGCTCCTCCCGCGCTCAGTGTCCGTGAGCACGAGGCGCCCCGAGCTAGGCTGCGTCTTCACGACGGCTCCCAGGTAACCCGGCCTGTGCCTCTCCTCTGAGCCGCTCCCAAGGGCCGGAGCAGGCGCCCAGGTGGAAAGAGAAAAGCACAACTTTGGGCCGGCTGCCCCCGGCCACCCGCAGCCCTGAGCTGGGCACTCCTGGCCGGCTGAGTGCGATCCTTCCTCCTCGCCCATGCAGTGTGTCCACACTTGGGGCCAAGAGGAAAGCGCGCGGAGCTTTGCGAGACATGCCCATGGACCCCATTTGTTTTCTTTGTTAAAAGTCCAAACCCGGAGCCTTTCTTTGACTAAAGGGGAAGAGAGACAGTGGAGATTTCATTCAGCACCAATCCTAGAATCAGAACTGGCGGGTTGTGATGAAGGCTACTAGTCATTTATTGGAGGGGTCAAGGTCAAAGTCACAGCCCTCCTCAGATCGCCCCACGCCCTGTAACGGTCTCCCTGGCCTCTGCTGGGCGGAGATGAAGACCTCCCCGGGGCGCCCTCGGGCAGGCGCCCCGCCGGTGCGGTCTCTGGCCCCCTGGGCCATCCCCGCTCTCCGCTGCAAGTGTCCTGGCGCCTCATAGGCCCTCCCAGTTCCAGAATTAAAGCAGAGGCCACTGTCCCTTGGACACAGGCTCCCTCCCCAGGCGGGGGCAGCCCTTGCCTTAGGGGAGGCCCCGTAACTGCAGCCCCGCGCCCCGCCAAGGCTCACCGACGGTCCCGGTGAGCGCACCGAGGGCCGCCTGGACGCTGAGCTCTCCTTCCCTTGCTGTCAAAGTCCACTGTACATAAGACAGCGCCGCGCTGACCTCGGGGCCTCATGTCTTTCCGTGTTGCATGCAGTCGTATTCCAACGCCAAATAGTGATCGGAAGACTGCTGTTCTGGTCCGTGTGCTTTATCGGTCACCGTGTGACCGCCTTTACGCTCTCCACGTGCTAACGAAGAATGCATTCCAGTGTTTGAAGAGGTATTTTTACGTGTTTTTAAAAACATTGAAAAATGAGCCTGACATCTGTTTCAGTATTTGGAGACACACCCACATTTTTTTTTAAATGTCTGATTATCGATACTTTTGTTCAACTAAATCATGTTTAATTTATGTGCAATCTTTATATGTATGTACTCAGTTTCGACTGTCATGCTTTCTTTTACTACATTTATAATTTGATCTCGCTCTGATTATAATGCCAGTGAATGTTGCAGAATTCTTTGTATATGCAAATTGCAAGGTCTACCATTCTGATGCAAGGATAAATCTTTACTTTCACTTCCAGCCTGCGTCTCTTTCTTGGAGGAAATCTCTTCATTTCATTCCTATGCCTTAAGTCCTTTTAGAGAAGACGTTCATTAGGAGGTAAATGCTGATTTATATAGACAATGAATTTTAGGACTTCTGCAGTTTAGCTCAGAGGGGGCTTAGGAGCAGCCTCCCACCCGCGTGGGTGGGCACGGTGCCCGGAGCCTGACCCCTGTGTGCGCTCAGCTGGGCGTCCGGCCCGAGTGTGCGGGCAGGAAGCACCGAGCCCTAACCCGCTGCTCAGGCAAGAACCTGAGCTCTGAGCAGGGGTGTCTCGGATCTGCAGGCGACAACAGCGTGCTTCAGGTGCACGGCCAGGTGCCACCAAAGCCCTTCCTCTTGCTTGCTCCACCCCGCCCACCTGCCCCTCCCTCCGGCCCCGCACCAGCAGCCTTTCGGATAACCGGACCCACTGTGGGACTGAATCCCACGCTTTTATTATCTGCTGTATTTATTTATTGTTATCCGCCTTGTTACGTTTGCTAAAATGATTTGAAAACCTTGTATTCTCCCCTCCACAAAAAAGGGCCCGCAACGAAATGCCGTTTGCCCCGTGGGCCCCTGAGTGAGAGGGTTTTCCGCGTGGGCCTGTCTGCCCAGCCCTTAGCTAAGCGGTCCCTTCTGCGCTGGGTGTGGCGGCCTCAGCCCAGCCGGAGAAGCGAGGCGGACACAGCCTGAGGTGGCAGGGGAGGGACCTCAAGCACAAAAGGGACATCAGTCAATCAGGGACCGGCTGACTGAAGCAGCCTGAGCGGCAGCCTCAGGAGGGTCTGCATTGTGAACACGCGCGTGTGTACCTGCAGGTGTGTGAATGTGTGTTGGGCGTGGGTCCCACCTCAGGCACGCAGGAGGGGCTGGTCCCAACAGGCCCTACAGAAATTCGGAGGCCAAAAAGTAACCTGAGTTCTGTTTCCTGAGACCCGCCCATCAGAGGGCGTCACCCACCCGGATGGAGGCGGAGACAAGCCAGCCCCCAGGGACAGGCCCTCGCTTCTAGCCGCCTGCCCGCACCCAGGCAGCCCAAACGAAGGATGCGTCCATCCCACGGGGTTTTTCCCCGGCCCCGTGGCCCCTGCGTGAGTTCCAGTCCAGACCCACAGACCCGCCTGTGCTCTGGCAGCAGGAGGCTCGCATGGGTGGGAAGGCGAGCTCACGCATTTCAGTGAGGTTTTGGTTCAAGCGGAGCCCTGAGGGGTTTGTTGAATCGTTTCCCACACAGCTGATGGCAACTCCTGTGTGGGGGCTTTGTTAGGGCTGAGTCTGAACAACTCAATCGCAGGAAACCGGTGGTTACTTTCCTTGAACTTGGCCCACGTGAATGATGCATTTGTGACTCACACCTTCCAATTAAGCACCTTTCTGATGGGGCCGTTCTGCGTCTCAGCCCAGCTCGACGGTCGCCGACCCCGACATGGCCCCCCTGCCCCAGCCTTCCCCCAACCTGTCACTCCCTTTGGACCTCGGACCCACTGTCCAGAGCTCCGCTGTGGCAGCCCCGGTACCAAAAGCTGATGGAAACAGACACGCCCGCATTCACTCACAGTGTTTATTTTTATGCGAACCTTGCTCCAAACCAGACACAAGAGACAGGAAGGGACACACAGGGGGATGGCCACCTTCTCGTTGACTTCATGCTCGCCTCAGCCTGGCAAGGCCGGTGGATGGGGAGGAGTCCAGGCAGGAGGCTGGACGGAAGGTGTTATTTTCTGACTGAGGGGACACAGAGGGACAGGACACAGGGCAATATAAAAAGAGAGTCGGCCTGAAACAAGAACGCGGGCTGGGCTTAGACTGAGTCTGGGGCGCGGGCTTGCGAGGGGAGCGTGGGCCTCCGGGGAAGGGCCCGTGCACGCCGCTGTCAGAAACGCCCTGAGTTAGGATGGCCCCTGTCGAGTCCCGTGCGCCGTGGCTGCTGGGCACCAAGGACGCTGACAGGTGCAGCCAGAGAAAGCGCAGGAGGGACAGGGCCCGTGGGAAGCTCGGAAAATGTCAGTGACGCACAAGCAGAGAAGCTAAGAGGGCGTCCCAGCTCGGAACCGAGCAGCGCGCTGGCCGGCGGGCGGGCGAGGGCCTTCTCAGGCGAGAGCAGTCCTAGTTTAGGCAAAGGCTCAGCGGGGGGGAAAGCCAGGCAACCAGTGAGACCTCCACGTGCTGACCCCTGTACCCTGGAGGTGGGGCCACAAGCCACCCCCCAGATCACCTTTACTCCCTTAAATGGAAGTCCCCGCAGACGGGGCGGCCCCGTGCAGAGGCCCGGCGGCCCCGGAGCAAGGCCTGCACGCTGCTGCCACTGTCCGGGCACGACCTGGAATCACGGTGAGTCTATTCATCGGTCCTGTCCCCTGTTTCCGGAGGACCTGGCCAGTGCAGGGACACGAGGACAGGAGCCCCCGCCCCTGGGGTTCTGACGGGGACACAGACACACACGGCAGCATTCGCAATGCAAGTGCTAGAGCCCGGGAGGGGCCTGCAGAGCTGAGGCCACGGCTCGGCCGAGCCCCGCCCCCACCCCCCTTAAATTCCCCCCGTTTCAGCCTTCCCGGGAGTCTCCTTCATAAGCTCCACAGGGGAGTCTGAACAGACCACAGATTGTTAAAAGCTTTCCTCCCTTAAACACCCGAATAACATTATTTACAGAATTCACTTTTAAATGTACAGCATTGTACTAGAACTTATCACGAAACTAAATGGGCTCCTTTTTCTCCCTCTCATACTCATTAGCTGTGTCTTCACTGTCCCCGGCGGCCTCTGGTTCTCATTTTCCTGACACCGTCATTGTCGTTCTCCTGTTTGGGGAGAAAAACACACGTTTTAAGTCACTTAAAACGGAGATTCTTGCCGCCCTCCCTCCCGGGGGTGTGCGGCGGGGCACGGCCTGCCTGTCAGTGTTGCTTCTGTTCCTTAAACTGTTTTGACTATTTGGTTTTATAAACCTAAACATTTGGTCTTTTAATTAAAAAGTTTGTGACCTATTTTTAAGTTAATACATAATAAAAAAAGTTCCACACAAAGGCATAGCGCTTTACGGACAAAAAAAACCCACTCAGCCAAAGCGAAATCAGACGGACGCTCAGACTGACGTCTTCAGGGTCCTGGGAGCAGCCCCCGCCCCAACCCCGGCACTGCTGTGCGCGAAGAGGACAGTCGCTCAGCTCAGCTCGGTGGCCGTGTGACCGGGGCCACCTGCTGTGTGAACGCTAGGACCGCCAGAAGGAGGCTCACCCTAAAATCTAACAAGAAAAGACGACCGGCCCTTCCAGGACGGCGCCCCAAAGCGTGGGCGGCCGCGCTGCGCTTACAGGTGCCCGCGTTCCCACTGAGCGGGCCCCCGACCCCACAGCCCGTCAGAAAGAGCACCCCGTGGTATGGGGCCCGCACCTCCACCAAGAGGTTTAAAGTGATCTTTTGGGGGTGGCGGGGCGGGGGGGAGTCAGAAAAACAAAAGGCAAGAATGCAAAAAAATCTAAGGTGGAGCTTGCAAACAGCCAGAAACACTGGAGGGCCGACTGAAGGCGGCCCCTCCTCACAGTGCCGCGCAAACGTCCCGCACGTGCGCGAGCTCTCAGGCCCCACGGAGCCGCGGGCGCCTCGGAAGGTCACGTGCGGGACCCGTGCTGGAGACAGCAGAGACAGGTGAACATGTACGGACATCGCCCCGTCTTTGCTGACCAGTCGGCGGCTCTGTTCCGTTCCCTCATGACCCTTCGGGGGCAGGGACTTCAAAGCCACCCTGGATGCGGGTGGACGGCCTCAGGGCCTTGGAGGCCGGCACTGGGCCACACGGCTGCATGTCACGCACGGGGTTGCAGCGTCCCTAACTGCACCCTGGAGAGCAGACGTGTCCCATGCACAGAAAGGGACCCTGTCACTCTTTTTCTTTGAAAGTGGCCAAACCAAGTGCTCCCAAGAGGCACGCTGATCGAATTTAACCGCGCTTCGCCGGCTTACTCAGATGCCGGCGCGTGCATGGGCTGCTGAATTGGACGTGACACGAGGGGCACTTACTGTCCTTGAACTTAGATGGTATCTGACTCGGCAGGGTGACAGGACATAGCAAGTCCAACTGACCAGGGGCTCTTACGAGCAGAGGTGCCTTAGGGACACGCCAGCTTGCATTCGCCCTGGCTTTCCAGAGGACGCCCTGGAGGGCCCAGGCAGGGCGTCGGCCTGCGAGGCAGCGCGGCGCGTCCCGGAGCGGGCGGCGGGGAAGTGCCGGCCGATGGCTGGTCCCCGGAAACATCCCATGCTTATTAGGAAGCAGAACGGTAAACCACTTGCCTTGTTTGCATCTTCCACAGGCCTCTTGCCACTCCGAGTCACTCTCTGTTTGGACTCACTCTCCGAAGTGTCCCCCGAGGGAGGGGCTGTCACCCTTCTTGATCTCAAGCATATGGAGCCTGCACGTGGGGGTCCTTCCTTCTCCTTGCGAGTCTTCCCGGGGGTCTCCACGCTGCTCGCCCTCGCCTTCTCCCCGGCTCCGCGGGGCTCGGGCACCTTCCCCCGCCTCCCGGGCCTCGGGCACACTCTCTTCGCCTGCGCTTTGTCCCCAGAGCCAGGACTCTGGGCTCCACCTTCTGGGTGTTGAATCTCCACCGCTGGGGAGGGATTCGCGGGCTTCTTTTCATTCCTCTTTCTTTTAACCTTTTCTGCTGGTCCAAGAAGCTCAGGCCTTGGCTCTGCTCCGTTGGTTTTCTTTAGGACACTGGAGCGCAGGGACATTTCCTAAAAAATTCAAAAGTGCTCATCATGAGTAATGCAAATCTGAAAATCCAACATGGAGAAAAAAAAATCAAACGCGAACTCAAAGGGGAGCTCACGTGAACATCTTACATGGGTTAATTCTCTAAAACAGCACTGATCTAAGGTATTCACTCGGTTCCTGTGGAGAAATCACCACCTCTACTGACCAGCCATAAATAAGGAATTCGGTTTAAATTTCAGTCCCAGGGCCGTATGTTACACCTGGTCATGAGAAGCACCGGAGGGCACTCCAGAGCAATGCCCCCGGCTCAGGCGGCAAGTGGACACCTGCGGCGGCACCAAGCGCCAGAGCAGCGCAGGAGAGTCTGCTTCCGGGAGCCTGCGAACTTCTTGCCTCACAGCTGGAACCAACTGCTCTATCGAACAATCTCGGCAGTTGACAGTGATGTTCTCGGGGCGCCCCCTCCTGGACAGCGGTCTCCGCAGCAGCGCTGTCCCCACTCACGTGGCGCTGGACAACCCGCGCAGCCCCTGAGGAAGGCTGGTCAAAATCTGGAGCTGTCATTTTGGCCAGTTATGTCCCCAGGTAGCCTCGTCTCTCTATGAAACACCACGGGATCTGCCAGTGGGGTCTGCAGGGAGTCTGCACTGACGGCAGACCCTTCGGGACGGGGTGCCCACACACATTCAGGCCCCATGCAATCTATGCCGCACAGCAAACGGAAACGGGGAACGTCCACCCAAAAAGACCACCAATGGCTACGTAACAGCCACCATCACCTTGTCTGCAGAGGTCTCGTCTCCTTTTTGGCCCCTATTTTTCGTTTTTCCGTTCGTGCTGGGCAGGTCGTCCACAGGTTCAGTGCTTTCTGCCAAAACTCTGCGCCCCTTCTTCGGGACGGAGGGCTCAGGGGGGTCGCGCTGCTCCCTGGGAGCCACCCGCTGCCTCTTCCGCGGCGGCTGCTCCTCCGCGGTGTCCGGGTCGCAGGCCCTCGTGCGCAGCCTCCTCGGGCCTACGCAGCTTTCATCTTCACGTTTCTTCTTGGGGGACACGGTGGCGCCGCTCTTGCTTCCTGATTTTACAGGGTCCCTGCAGTCCGCCGGCTCTTCCGTGGGCTTCACGTTCCGGGCCCTAAGGGCTCTCCTGGATGTTGTTACAGGCTTGCTTCGGTCTGGTGTTTGCGTTGAAGTTCTGGCAGCGTCCGCGCCATCTGTGCCCCCTTCCTCGTCCTCAGCCGGGCTTTGGAGGGGCTGTTCGCTGCGCACTGGGCTGTCCTGGGCCGGGGCCGTTCCCTTCCTGGATCTCAGCAGCCGTCTGCTGCCCGCAGTGTTTCTCACGGGGCCTGGTTCCTGCCGTGGAGACTCCTTGCACACTTTGATGTCGTTGGCACCGTCTACAGGTTCTGTGTGTGACAGCGTGTCTTTCCCTGATGTTCGTGTGGGCCTCCTGAGAGCTGAGGGTGCTTCCTGCCCCTCCCCTGTCCCTGGAGGGGCCTTGAGCTGCCTCCTTGTCCTGGCCGGTATGACGACTGCTTCTGGCTGAGGAGATCTGGAGGGCACTTCGGTGGTGCCGACGGCCACTGGTTCCTCCGTGTGATCTGGTGCTTGGAAAAGCTCTTTAAGGCTGGCTGGGCCTTCTAGGAGCCGGGCCTTTTCTTTACGTGTTCTCGGCCTCCTCTGGCCTCCAGCTGCATTTTCTGCAGGGTCTAATTTCTCTTCTGGAGATTCCTTAGACAATTGCATATCCTTATCCCCACCCTCCGGTTCTCTATATGACCGTGTGGCTTTCCCTGCTGTCCGCGTGGGTCCCCTGAGGGCTGAGGGTGCTTCCTGCCCCTCCCCTGTCCCTGGAGGGGCCTTGAGCTGCCTCCTCGTCCTGGCTGGCATGACGACCGCTTCCGGCTGTGGAGATCTGGAGGGCACTTCGGCGGTGCTGACGACGGCCACTGGTTCCTCCGTGTGATTTGGTGTTTGGAAGAGCTCTTTAAGGCTGGCTGGGTTTTCTAGAAACTGGGCCTTTTCTTTACGTGTTCTCGGCCTCCTCTTGCTTCCAGTTACATTTTCTGCAGGGTCTAGTTTCTGTTCTGGAGGTTCCTTAGACAATTTGATATCCTTATCCACTCCCTGAGGTTCTTTGTGCGGCTGCGTGGTTTTCCTTGACGTCCGTGTGGGCCTCCTGAGGGCTGAGGGTTCATCTTTGGCTGCTTCCCCTGGAGGTGCCTTGAGCCGTCTGTTTCGGCTGGTTGGCATGACAACTGGTTTTGCTTGTGGAGATTTGCAGGGCATTTTGGTGGCTTTGTCCTCTGTCATGGGTTCTACTGTGTGATGTGGTGTTTGGAAAAGCTCTTTGAGGCCAACCAGGTCTTCTATCAGTTGATTCACTTTCTTGGGTGTTCTTGACCTCCTTCTGCTTCCAGTTTTATGTTCTGCTGAGTCCAATTTCTGTTCTAGAGTTTCCTTCAGTGCTTTGATATCTTCATCATCACCTTCCAGTTCTCTATGGAAAGATGTGGTTCCCCCTGGTGTGGGTGTGGGCTTCCTGAGGGCTGAGAGCTCTACCTCCACATTCCCCAGAGGTGTCCCGAGATGTCTCTTTGTGCTGGCAGGTGTGCTGACTGGTTCTCGTGGAGATTTGCAGGGCATTTTCATGGTTTTGTCCTCAGTCATTTGTTCTTCTGTGCGATTTGGTGTTTGGAAGAGCTCTTTGAAGCTGGTCAGGTCTTCTATGGGTTCAACCTTCCTCTTGGGTGTTCTTGACCTCGTTCCGCTTCCAGTTGCATGCTCTGCTGAGTCCAGTTGCTGTTCTGGAGTTCCCTTCAATGCTTTGATAGCTTTATCATCACCTACTGGGTCTCTGGGTAAGCACGTGGTCTTCCCAGATGTTGGTGTAGACTTCCTGACTGCTGAGAACTCTTGTTCCACGTCCACTTTCCCTAGAGGTATCTTAAACTGTCTGGTCATGCTGGTAGATGTGACGACTGGTTCTGGTTGTGAAGATTGGCACAGTATTGCAGTGGTTGTGTCCTCAGTTATTGGTTCATCTGTGTGATTTGGTGTTTGGAAGAGCTCTTTGAAGCCAGACAGGTCTTCTAGGGGTTGGACCCTCCTCAAGGGTGTTCTTGACCTCCTTCTGCTTCCGGTTACATGCTCTGCTGAGTCCCATTTCTGTTCCGGAGTTCTGTTCAATGCTGTGACATCCTCATCATCACCTTCTGGTTCTCTTTGAGAGTGTGTGGTTCCCCCCTGGTGTGGGTGTGGGCTTCCTGAGGGCTGAGAGCTCTTCCGGCACGTCCACTTTCCCCAGAGGTGTCCTGGGACGTCTCTTTGTGCTGGTGGGTGTGCTGACTTGTTTTGGTTTTGGAGATTTGCTGAGCATCTTGGTAGGTTTGTCATCAGTCACTGTTTCCACAACATGATTTGGAGTTTGGAAAAGCTCTTTGAAGCCAGACAGGTCTTCTTGGGGTTGGACCCTCCTCATGGGTGTTCTTGACCTCCTTCTGCTTCCGGTTACATGCTCTGCTGAGTCCCATTTCTGTTCCGGAGTTCTGTTCAATGCTGTGACATCTTCATCATCACCTTCTGGTTCTCTTTGAGAGTGTGTGGTTCCCCCCTGGTGTGGGTGTGGGCTTCCTGAGGGCTGAGAGCTCTTCCGGCACGTCCACTTTCCCCAGAGGTGTCCTGAGACGTCTCTTTGTGCTGGTGGGTGTGCTGACTGGTTGTGGTTTTGGAGATTTGCTGGGCTTCTTGGTGGGTTTGTCATCAGTCACTATTTCCACGATGTGATTTGGAGTTTGGAAAAGCTCTTTGAAGCCAGACAGGTCTTCTAGGGGTTGGACCCTCCTCAAGGGTGTTCTTGACCTCCTTCTGCTTCCGGTTACATGCTCTGCTGAGTCCCATTTCTGTTCCGGAGTTCTGTTCAATGCTGTGACATCTTCATCATCACCTTCTGGTTCTCTTTGAGAGTGTGTGGTTCCCCCTGGTGTGGGTGTGGGCTTCCTGAGGGCTGAGAGCTCTTCCGGCACGTCCACTTTCCCCAGAGGTGTCCTGAGACGTCTCTTTGTGCTGGTGGGTGTGCTGACAGGTTGTGCTTGTGGAGATTTGGTGGGTTTCTTGGTGGTTTTGTCATCAGTCACGATTTCCACGATGTGATTTGGAGTTTGGAAAAGCTCTTTGAAGCCAGACAGGTCTTCTTGGGGTTGGACCCTCCTCATGGGTGTTCTTGACCTCCTTCTGCTTCCGGTTACATGCTCTGCTGAGTCCCATTTCTGTTCCGGAGTTCTGTTCAATGCTGTGACATCCTCATCATCACCTTCTGGTTCTCTTTGAGAGTGTGTGGTTCCCCCTGGTGTGGGTGTGGGCTTCCTGAGGGCTGAGAGCTCTTCCGGCACGTCCACTTTCCCCAGAGGTGTCCTGAGACATCTCTTTGTGCTGGTGGGTGTGCTGACTTGTTTTGGTTTTGGAGATTTGCTGAGCATCTTGGTAGGTTTGTCATCAGTCACTGTTTCCACAACATGATTTGGTGTTTGGAAGAGCTCTTTGAAGCCAGACAGGTCTTCTAGGGGTTGGGCCTTCCTCAAGGGTGTTCTTGACCTCCTCCTACTTCCAATTACGTGCTCTCTCAAATCCTGTTGTTGTTCTGGAGTTTCATTAGATGCTTTCATGCTTTCATCACCACCTACTGGTTCTTTGTGTGTGTGCTTGGTGTCCCCTGGGGTTTGTGTGGGCTTTCTGAGTACAAAGTAAGCTTCTACATTCACATTCTGGGAAGGCATCTTGATCTGTACATTCATCTTGGTCGGTGTGCTGACTGGTTCTGGTTTTGGAGATTTACTGGGCATCTTGGTAGGTTTGTCATCAGTCACTGTTTCCATGACGTGATTTGGTGTTTGGAAGAGCTCTTTGAAGCCGGTCAGGTCTTCCAGGGGTTGGGCCTTCCTCTTGGGTGTTCTTGACCTCCTTCTGCTTCCAGTTACCTGCTCCGCTGAGTCAAGTTGCTGCTCTGGAACTTCATTTGATGGTTTCATGTTTTCGTCACCACCTACTGGTTCTTCGCGTGTGTGCTTGGTGTCCCCTGGGGTTTGTGGGAGCTTCCTGAGTACAGAGAGAATGTCTACATTCACACTCTGGGAAGGCATCTTGATTCGTACGTTCATCTTGGTTGGTGTGCTGATTGGCTCTGGTTTTGGAGACTTGCAGCGCATCATTGTGGTTTTGCTCTCTGTATACACTGGTCCCTCAGCATGACCTGGGGTCTGGAGAAAACTGTGGATGCCCACCAGATCTTCCTTGGATTCTATCTCTTGCAATCTCTTCATGGCATTTACGTCTGTTCTTGGTGCACATTGAGGCTCTGAAGATCTTCTCGATCTCCTCACAACTATCATCTTTTCAGAATCTTCTTTTGATTCGATGTTTCTCTTACATGTCTCAAAGGCTCTTTCACTTTCCTTCATCTCTCCCTCCAGTAGCTGGGCCTGTGCTGGCAATTTCCTCAGACGTCGTCCCAAGATGCTCTCAACAGTGTTGACCTCTGTGTCTTCCTCCCCACACTCTGTGCCTGGAGCCTGGGTATTTCTGGGCCCCACAGACCTCCTGGATTTGTTCGCACTGGAGGCCGCCTTCGGAGGCTCTGTCTCAGATGGTGGAGTTTTCATATTTTTATTTACTGTAATATGCTGTCTTCTCAGGGATGGGCTTTCAGACTTTTTATCAGATGGCTCTTGCGGTACATTCTGAGCACGGGGGAACACATTCTCTCCTATAAGAAAAGCATACGCAGTAAGTATATTCTCTTCACTATGTTATGCCAACTTGGAATTTTATTCTCGTGAAATATTGTGTAAGAGACAATAATTCGCCCTCCTCACCTTACTAACAATGAGTCTGCATATGTGGCTATAAATCTGTCTGACATGTGAACCATGCACACTGAAGAGTAACGTTACTTGGTGCTATAGAGAGGGATCACATATAGGTGGCGGTTAGAATCCACAGGAATTAGATAAAGGAAAAAAGTTCCTAAAGAAGGGTCTCCTGAAGGCTGTCATGCCACATCTCGGTAACCTGCACACAGACATGTTGTGTCTTTAAATATGACAAATAACTCTTTCTTCTTTAGAGCCACCGATGCAATCACAGGACCTACACATCATCCACTTAGCATCCCTGTTACACCGAAACATCTCTTTTTTAGCTGTAGGAAGCATCTTCCATGCAGCAGGGTGCTTGCTCTACAATACGAACTCGGTACCAAATGACAGAGCAAGACAGACTCATGTCTCCCACCCCATGTTCACACTGGGCATGCTCCCGGCCAGAAGGGCAGCAGGAAGAACAGCACAGTGTCCATGCTGTTATCTTTCTTTTTGGTAATTTGCCATCATTTTGAATTCGAATATTTACTTAGAAGTATCATGAGAGATCATTACACCTTTTGGCCTATCTCCTCTTTTTAATAAATAAGGAAGGCAAGAGTGTATACAGCCAGCCCTGGTTGGGTAGCTCAGTTGATTAGAGCATCATCCCCATATACCAAGATTGTGGGTTTGATCCCTGGTCATGGCACATACAGGAAGCAACCAATGAATGCGTAAGTAAGTGGAACAACAAACCAATGCTTCCCCCCCTCTTTCTCAAATCAATTTTCAAACAAGTGTGCACAGGTAGTTTGATTATTAAAGGAATATTGCTTTTTACTCAAGTCACGAAATACCAGGGCTGGTTTAACTGCTGATAGGAATTTCCCCTAAAAACAACAAAACAGAGAACCTGGAAATGGTATTTTATCAGAGTATCTGTGTAGAGAAATAAGACAATATCTGTTATTAAAAACAACAACAATATCATCTACAGTTCTAGTAAAGACACCAAAGTACTAGGAAAAAAAAAGAGTAAACGAACCAAACTTTTCTGGGGTGCATAGCAGAGGTTTTTCTTCTGACTTAGGTACTTGAAACTTTTTTCCAAGCAAATCCTCAGAATTTGACAAAGCGGTGGGACATAAGCTCATCCTTTTTGGCTTCTCTTTCGCTGGGGTCTTGAACATTTCGGTTAGCCCTGTTGCATGAAAACAGTGGAAAAGCAATGAACATATCGCTCCTGCCCGTGAACAGCCTCATCAGTCCCCACATACAACCACAGGCTCACTCCCTGGAATTCCTGGTGGCGAGGGTCTCAGAGGGGAGGGTGATGCATCAGTAATAACCCCATTTTGTGGAAAGAGGGCAACGAGTGGGACGTGAGAATCATGCCTCCCTCCCCCCGCAGGTGAACGCCCTCCCACGTCCCCATGGATCTAAGGGCTCTGGTTTACAGGAAGTTGCGTTTTTACCTGAAAGGTCTTCGTTAAAGTCAATTTTCCTGCCGAGCACGAAGTTGTTCAGCATTCGGTAGGGCCGGGCGGGCATGGCCACCTTTTCGATGTGCGCTTTCCCTATTACAATGGTGCAGGGAGAGTTTGCGTGGCCTGTACTGAACTCATTGTGCACACGGCCCGTGGGCTTCTGGAAAAAAGGCAGGAGAGCACAGAACGTCACAGCGCCGATCCACACTCAAGGCCGCTGTAAATAACGTGAGGCGTGACCGAGCGATTCACAGCGAGACACGCACCTTTGGGGTATCGATCTTTCTCTGCCTCTTGCTCAGCTGTCTTAGGGGACGGTGTTTCACAACCTTACTTTGTGTCTGTCTGGCGCTGAGTTTTACTATGTCTGCCCACGATTTTGCCACTGTCAAAAGGAAAAGATGTTGTTTGCAACTGAACAACAATAAACAATATTTTTTTTAAAAAAAGGAAAAGACGAAACTTCCCAAAGCGGGCCGTCAGCGAGGAAAGCCACCTGAAAGCATCCCTGTGAATGCAACACTCACCGATGAGATTGGCTTCCGAGGCCCCGCTCCTTCTCCGGGAGCGAATGGCCTGCAGGAGCCCGTGCTGGCTCCGACCCCCGGAAGCCCTCTCGGCAGGCACGCCGCCGCTCCTCCGCCCGCCCCTCTTGGGAGCATCTGTCTGGTGTGGAGACTGGCTGCCACCCGAGGCTGGTGGCTTGGATGGCCCCCGGCGACCGTCGCTTGCCCCTGAAGGTGTGTTTGTGAGATGGCAAGCCAGGGAGCTCGTCAACACGTTTTGTGCAGTCACTTCCGAACGGATTTCTGAGGACTCTTCTTTTCCCGACTCTTGTGGCTGTTCCTGACAAGATTGAAATGTCTCTAAGAAAGCTTACCGCAAACGTCACACCTCTGAAATGACTGTCAAAGCCCCACTCATTGAAGAATTTCAGCTGTTTCAAAGTACAAGAAACCCACAACAAACCAAAACAAACGCATGTCCAGTGTGTCCGGCAGTCATTGTGAAAGATTCTGCACCGCTCCAAATGTTCCAAATGTTTGAATAAAACTGAATGGGGACGCACAAAGAATTTTAGCTGTTTAAATCTTGAAGCATCAAACCATTTCAACCACTGTCCGTCAAGTGCAAGGCCGAGGGGAGTCTGCCCAGCATTTAAGGAAAGAAAGAAAAAAGCAGCAAACAAGCCTTAACTCAGGTGTCCCGGGAAGGAAGGCGGAGGAAACCGCCTGCGGGGCAGAGAGGGCTCTGACCTGACCCTAAGCAAACACACCCATGGGTGAAGGCGGGTGTGTGTCTGCGTGGCTGAAAGAAGGCGCTCACTTCCAGGAGGGAATCAGTATTAGAGGGAAGGAGGAAGAAGGCCAGACACACCTCAGGCCATCAAGGCAGCGATGAAAAGCAACTGAAGGCAGCCCCGCCCCTGCTGCAGGTGAGCTGCCGGCCACCCCATCCAGAGACCTAGCACCGGGGCAGCAGAGCCGAGCGGACCTGCCTGAAAGTCCTCGGCAGTTGCCGGTGGAGACTGCAGGCGCGTGGGCCGCCAAGATTTCCCTTCCGCCTCATAGCTCTGAAAGGAAAGCCACCACTGTATAGCCATGTGTCATGACGTCTCCAGAATCTTATTAACCAGTGGCTTTTGCTGGGACCCCAGACTGGCCCTCTGTCCCTGGCAGCGCGGGCAGGGGGCCTGTGCGGGAAGAGTCCTGAGGACTCATGGCGGCTCGGCCACCTTCCAGCAGTGGTTCGGAACCCAGGTGTTCCTTTTCCGACACGCGGGGAAAGAGTTCATTTAGACTTTGTACTGCTACTTTACATGAGAAGGAGAAAGGTTTCACTGTGCTTTCACACGGGCGGGGAGCCTGGCAGGCCACGCCCAGGACAGGAGCCGTCGGGCGGGGCGGAGGGTCCGCGATGGCACATACCTTGATGATTTTCTTGAGGACAGCTGGAGTGCGGGCCACGAGAGACCTCCTCTTCACTGGCGTCTCTCCTCTCTTGAGCGGGGTATTAGGAGGTAAGTTTTCATCGAATAACTCAGGTCTCAGGTGGCCCCCAAAGGAGACCCGCCTTCTCTTCGAGGGCAACCCCTCCATCTTATCTGAAGTGGTGAATACAAGCAGGAAAGGGAGTGGAGAACCATGGGAACACGCAGGACTTGTTTCCGACTGCTATTAAACACAAAGTGCCAGTGCGGGCCACCGGCCCCGCGTCACGTGGACAGCACGCCCTCGCTCTGCAGTGACGCTGGCCGAGGCAGCCAAAGCTGCTTCCCGCGCTCCTGAAAGGCCGGGGTCAAGCCACCAAAACGCCCACCCCAACTCGACAGTACAGAGATGCTCTTTAAAACGCTGAAAGGTCCCATGTGGACACAGCTTCCTGAAGGGCTCGGCCTGAGGCAGAGGCTCCGTGCGGAGCCGGGGGCTGCAGAGACGTATGCGTTAGCGGTGACCCGAGAAAGCTTCCCCGAAAGGCACATACTCAGGCCTCCCCTAGACCTGCCTGGTGAGTAGAATGAGCTGGACAAGCTCTGCAGGGGATTGTCATGGGCAATTCGTGTGACGCCACCCCCACGACACACCTTTACAAACCACTGGTCCATGCCAAGCCCTGTGCGAGTGACACGCCCCTCCTGCCACTCACAGGGACACCGGGCCTGGCTGGGCAGGGCAGCCGCAGAGAGCCGCACAGCGCCCGCCAGGCACCCCTGCAGAGCAGAGCCCGGACGATGGTTAGTTGGCTGCGTCCGGCGCCTGAGACCCCTGCAAAGGGCAGTGCCCGAGAGCCACCACGCCTGCCACTCGCCGTGGGACATTAGGGTGTCCGCTTCCCCAGTTGCAAAATGGAGACGACGCTACCTGTCTCGTGAGCGCTTAAAGTGTGAATGTGCACAGTGCGCAAAAGCGCGCCCAGCACATGAACCCGTGGGGACAGCGGTGTTTCCTAAGGGAGCTGCCTGCTGGGGGCCCCGAGAACAATATAAATACCAGAGGGCCACCCCGTGTAAAAGGTGTCCCGGGGACTTCCGCTGACTTAAGAGGGCCCAACTCACAGGATGCTGAAGCTCTGTAGCGCGTAATCATGAAGCCTCCCGGACAAAGCGATTACGCTTCCTCTCCTTTCGATGTTGTTGTGGCCAGAATAGGAGGGCCGGATAAAACGTCTGCAGCGCCCTTGCATCCCCTGCTATACCTGTCCTTCTCTAACGACCTGCCCCTCCCCCCACTCCCTAGAGCGATCCTCAGCTCTGGGGACAGAGCTCTCCCTGTGGACAACGAACACCGCTGTCTTGTACCCTTAGCTCTGGCTTCTCTGACACAGAGCAAACTGCTATTTTAAGAAAGGAGTTCTTGTTAATTCATTCGTAGATGCAAGTACATGGGGCCTCCTGGGGGAAATGAACGTAAAGTTAAATAAACTTACGAATGGACTCATCCAAGTTGCTGACGTCGACGGAACTGAGGCCAGGGGAACCGGCTGAGCCCTTCTGCTCCACGGGGACCAGCAGGGCGGTGAGCGCGGCTTGCTTTGGAGTTTCTGTTTCTTTAGCAAGACCGTCAACATCTGGAAGGAGGCTTCTCCGTCTCTTTCTGGAAAAGCCTTTTTCTGGCGTGTTTCTGAAGCCGTTGGCACTGTCACCTTGGCTGGGTGTTCGGTTTCCCGGGAAGAGCGGCTGAGGAGTGAATGTCGTGTGCTCTGCCTGGAAGCCTTCGCTCTGATCCGGGTTCACAGGGTTGCTCCCCCCGATGACACTCTGGCCTCCGCTCTGGCGTTTTCGTGAGGAATTTTGGTGTGACCAGGGGACAGGGGTCTTGGCTATCGCCGTCTCCGTGGGGGGGGTGCTGGAACTCACGGTGGCCTCGAGAGTGGGACCAGGGACAGCCTTTGTCTGGGAGCTCCGACGGGACCTCCGCCTGGACTTGGGGGTGACCTGTAGTTGTGCCTGACCCTGCGAACCTCCAGCACTTTCAGATTCGGCTGCGCAGTGATCCCAGGACCCCGATTTCCGACGATTCTGTAGGACATTCTCTTTTTCTGATTTCACATCCAACTCTTCCTTCATAGACTCATAAAGCTTCCTAAAGGGAGACTCGTTCGCTCCGCCCTCCTCAGGACTCTGTGTAGCGGGAAGGGGCTCCAGCCCCCCGTTCCTGCTCACTAAGGCCCCACGGGCACCCTCTCTGGACCCCCCCGCAGGGGGGCCCGCTGCATTTCTGCGGTTCTCTCTGGGGGGCTCTGAGCCATGAACATCAGGGGTGGTCCTGGGATCGGGGCCTTCTGAGCTGCGTGGGGCAGCGCGGGCCGCCGCGACATCCTCCGTGCGCGCCGGGGACCCTCCGGAAACCCCGTCTGCGGGGAGCTGTGGGCGGGCAGCACCGCGGGCTTCACCTTTGCCACCTTGACAGTGAGTTAGGAAACGAGAAACAAGTTCAAGGCTTCCTCAGTGATGCATACGGGCAGTACTGAGATCTTAAAACTGTTTCGAACTGTCTCAGCACCTAGCTTTTCACTTAGCTTACGAGTTACTGAACGCCCAGCGTGTGTAATGCCTGTATTCTGATACCAGCACTATGATCCAAATAAGTCAATCACACTAGTCTCCTGTAACCAGCCCAAGACACCAAAGGCTATTAATCCGCTCAGAGTCACGCAGACGGCCGAGCAAGGCCACTCCCGCGCGGCGCTGCCCAGTGAGCGCGGGCGCCACACGGCGCTCAGGCAGAGTCCGCTCAGGGTCCGCTCATGCGTCCTGTTAAAGGACACAACCTCCTAACTTCTGCGAGCCTGGACACACAACACTTGCGACCTTGTTGCCCCCTCCTTTTCACAACACTACACAGAGAACTGACCTTGCAGGATCTGGAATAAAACGAAAAACTACTTACAAGGATCTGAAGAAAAGCTAGACCTCGAGGCCCGACGTGCAGGTGCCTGTGGATGGGCAAAGAGCGAACAGGGATTTAGTGCCTTTTCCGGAACCGACGGTCAAATGTGTTAAAATGCTCTCCCTCCCAGCGATCTTCTTAGCCCCACTGCCCTTATATACCCCTTAGAGGCTTTGGGAAATGCGCCCAGACATGTAGGTGCTGGCGCTCAGAATACAAGTATTTCTTAGCTGATTTTAAAAATATAATGATAGCGTAAGAACCAAACTTGAAGCTGAAAATTGTTAAAATTGAACCTAGTCCAATTAAATTAAATTTGAGGGGTTGTTAAAACTCCCTCAAATTTCTTTCCCTTCATCACTGAAGGAAGTTAAAACGAATCGTCACCTACACGCTGTGCCTGTGAACCTAGCACAGGCACCGAGTTACAGACTTTAGGCGCCGTTTCACCAGAAATCGGCAGCAGAACCTGTGGGGGAACCCGGGTGCCCCTGAGTGCGTGGGCTCTGGGCTGGCAGACTCCTGGGCGTGTCCGAGCCCAGCAGGCGCGGCAGACCCGCAGGGCACGGCGGCGTGGCCGTGCGGGGCACGGGGTCCGAGCAGCACGCCCCTGGACCCCCACAGCGCTGCCCCTGTCTCTCACGGGACGTGTTTTAGGGGCTGAGGAACCACACCCAGTAACACGTATGTAAGATACCAAAGTCCAGTGTTGTTCCCAAGAAGGAAAAATATAGCATCTGAATAATTCGGGAGGGAAAAAACACATCCAAAGGCAAATCATTTCTGATTTTTTGGTATCTCACACCCTGCTTCTCAAACTTCGCATGTGAAAAGAATCAGTTTCTAATTTCCAAATCTGAAGTTGACCAAGAAAGGACTAAACAATAAAAATTAAGTAACATTTTAAAATACGCACAAAGTGCTCCTGTACATTCTAAATATTCAATTTCAGTGTTCCGTCCCATCCAAATAACAAACAGCTCACAGACCACCAAGCGCTCTCATCCAACCCACAGCCAAGCCCTCTGGCTGGTGGTTCCCTTCCACCTCCTAGCAAGTGAGAATGACAGCCGGTGGGCGGGGCATCCTGGAACCCCGCCCCCGCCCCGCCCCCGCAGCGCCCTGCAGGCTGATGAGCTGCGCAGCAGCCGACACCGCGGTCGCTCCTGTCGCTCCTCTCGCAGAAACAGTACTCAGCCGGGCCGACGTCTTCCCAAGGTGCCTATCGCTGGTTTCAGGGGTACCTACCGTAAGACTCCAACCATGCGGGCCTGATCCTAGGCTCACTTGGGCAGCCTCATAAAAAGAGAGAAATTCGCAGGATTTCCCTTATACCTTTTAAGTCCTACTAAGCCTCCAAGGACGGGCCCAGAATTGCGGTTTAATAAGCTCCACCATTTGAAAGACATTTCCCGCACTGGCGGATACAAGTAATAAGGTTCTGTCACATGACCCCGGGGCGGGGGAGGGGGGCACGGGAATTCCCTTCCAGTGTCACAGGTCACCTGTCCATCATAACTGGGAGTGAGCCATGGGGCCCCCAACTCCGATGCGATCGCTCTGGAGGGACCCAGGTGGATGAGGACAAGGACAGGAGAGCCGTGAGCCCCGGAGCACAGGGCTCCCGAGCTGCACTGAGTCAGGCTGTCCTGGCCAAGGGTGTGCAAGCCGGGTCCTGAGCAGCTCTGGGGCCTCTCGGGCCAAGAGTGTAAGATTGACTCAGAACTCGTTTTGCATAAAAAAGGAAGTATATTTTAAAATTATTTTAACCTAAGTACAACTCATTTTAATACCTTGGTTACACTTTCCTACTGTAACAGCTAAGTCATCTTCCCTTGTAAAAACCTGATCAGTGTGCATATAAATGATCTCCTATCTTCACGCCAAAGAATCAGAGCCCAAGGTGTGAAAAGACCCCGTCACCTGTCCGAGCCTTTGCCCTGGAGATTCAGTTGACTCGCTTCCATTCTGGTGACGTTCATTCTCGTACCTGAAGTGCACAGAACAGACACATTCAGATCACTGACCTGTAACCAGGGGTAAAGCCTGGGTATCTGAGGAACACCCAAGGGGCGAGGAACACCCAAGGGGCAAGGAACAAACTTTGCGTTTCATTCAAGATGTTACCTTAGTTCTGGAAATAAACTTAGAGCTAGGAAAGTGCTTGTTACAGGGACAAAGACTCAGATACGGTGCCTCAAGTTTCTTTCAGAACGTCAGCGTCCAGGGCTGGGGACACAGATTAATTGCTCCAGCACTGGCCAGCGGGGAGTCCTCTGCGCGAACCTGCTACGCCGAGGACAGAGGCCGGCGCCCGCTGCTTTAAGGTCATGGAAATCAACGGAGGGGCTGGCAGGCCACCCAAGAAGCCCGGGGCCTCGGAGGCCGGACTGCTGTGCTGTCGCTTCTGCAGAAACCGCAGCGCTGCTCTGACTTCAGAGCACTTTGGTCTCTTCAGTCCCCACGCATGTGAACAAAGACAGGCAGTTAGTGAAGAGGAGAGCTATTTAGCAGGACGCACAGCTGTTCTCTGCACAGACCAGCCTTTTAAAACACAGGCAGAGCCTGGGCACACTGTGAAATGGCCTGACTTGAAGTAGAAGCCACCTGGCCTGACTAGGCGCCTGGGGCCGCACTCACGGGGCGGAGTTCTGGATCAAGACCTATTCCTAAGACTCATTTCCTAGTCATTGTTGGACGTGCCCAATCATCTCAATTAATCTGTACTTGAACAAGCTTCTCCTTTTGAGGAGATAGTTCTTGTCTCCTTCCATATCAAATTCTTCCTCCCTACAGCCTTCTATTCAATAAAAGTACTCTTTAAAAATGATGCAAGTTCATGAAAAGCGCAGTAAAGGAAACGACCTGGATGTTCAGATGGTACAGCAGAAATTATTTAATGAAGGCCATAACGGAGGCAGAGTTCTGCTCAGCAAAATGGATGAAAAAAATGATCCAACTCTCTGTTTCTACAAGAGACACAAGTTAGAGTCAGACACAAACAGGATGGCAAAGTGTGGAAAAGCTATGCCTGCACACAGCCACCGGGAGAGGGCTAGAGACGCTACGCTGCTGTCGGACAGAAGAGACGAGGGCTGTTCTCAGGGACTGCGCGCATTTTACAGCGAAAGAAGGGTCGCTCTGTCAAGAAGATAAGCCAGTCCTAAACAAAAGGGCGCCTAACAGCGGGTTCCAAGAGGCAACCTACACCTCAAGGATTAGAACAAGTTGAAAGCATGTGATAGAAAAATTACACATGCAAGCCTCATCGAAAGCATTATTAAAGGCATAAAACGTGTCAAAAGGATAAATGATAGAGCTTCAGCCACCAGATCATTCTGAATTTAAATACACAGTTGCCAGTAGAGAAAACCGACAGACCTTAAAAAAAAAAAAAAAGGAAAAAGAAATCCTCAATGTGTGATTTCAATGTACCTGGCAGAGTAACTAAGGATCAGTGGAGAGAATGACTATGATTCTAGAGAGAAATTCGAATCTAATGGTCACAGACAGAACAGTGCACCCAACAGCGGTAAAAGGCACCTTCTTTTCAAACACACAGACTAGTGAAAATCATTTCTGATCACAGAGCAAGCCCTGATGCATTTCAAAAACCAGAAGTCACTCAACTGTCTGTGCAGAGAGAAGTTGTGTGTGGTTGCGTGTACAGCCGCCTAGTATGCAGTGAGAAGGCCGTGCGCGCTGAAGCTCACCGCCACGGGACAGGGGTCGGTGACAGACACGTGCTGCTATCACAAACCGACGGGGTTTAACAGGCAGACGCAGCCACAGCGGCTAGGGGGAGGCAGGCTCGGCAGCAAAACGCCAACGACTTGCGCCGTTTGCGAGAGCCACGCTAGTGCTCTACTTGGTGAGAGAAAGGGGTAGTGACTTTAGAAGACACATGAAAGAAGCTTCTGCAAATGTCCTAATTATGTCTTAGGTGGTGGATTAGTTTGCTAGGGCTTCCATAACAAAACATCACACGCTGGGTGTCTTAAAGGGTTTATTTTCTCACAGTTCAGGAGGCTGGAAGTTCAAGGTCAAGGCGCGGGCAGGGGCTGGTGTCCTCTGGGCCTTGCTCCTCGCCTCGCTGTAGTTTCCCTTTGCCACCTGCACACACGGTTGTCCCTGAGTGCCTGCTCCCTGGTCCTCTCCCTGGGTCCTCGTCTCTTCTCATAAGGACGCCAGCCAGATGGGATTAGGGCCTACAGCCAAGGCCTCATTTTAACGCAACGCCCTGTCCCCAAAGACAGCCATGCTCTGCGGTCCTGGGGAGCAGGGCTTCGGCACATGAATGCGGGGGGCACCATTCAGCCCGTAACATGTGACGATCGCAGGCCTGTTTGCTGCATGTCGTTTTGTACCTTTCTTTACGAGTATATTTTAGTTTAAAACAACAAACTAATAAAGTGTGCAGTTTCTCAACACAACAAACTAACACTCCCGTCGGACCGGGCGCCCCTCTTGGGCAGGGAAACCCTTGAACGGGACCGCATAAACCCCTTGTGTCTGTTCAACTTTGGATTAAGATTCCGCGTGGAGGATGACAGCTTCAGACACTCGGACCTTCGCCCGCGGTAAAGGAGACCCACAGGTGACCCGCAAGGCGGCTTGCGGTGACTCAGGAGGCCCGTGACTCCTACTGACCTGAATGAACGGTCCACGATCGTGATCAGGTCCCCGTGCCTCAGCTGTACGGGCCCGTCGATGGCAGACCCGTTCACCTGCGTTGGATTTGCGGAACTGAAATTGAACAAGACTGCCTGCAAGGAGAAAAAGGGGGGAAACAGGTAACACACAGGCAAAAAGTAAAGTGAATGCTTTTTAAAAATAGACTTCCAAAAGCCCACTCACCTTTTGCTCATTGATTTCAATTTTGCAGTGCTGTTTGGACACCACAGGAAGCTGGATACGAATGTCACATTCAATACCCCTTCATCAAAAAGAATGAAGATTCTTTTAGGTTGTTGCATTAAAAAAAGAAAATTACATCAGAGTTTCAAAATAAAGCAGCACTTGACTATACGTTGGATCTACAAGTGTAACCACTTAAAGAAATAGCCAACTGAGTGATGTCAGTGAGCTCTGAGTTTTGCCAATAATTTTTACAAGTATTGTATAAGCAAGTATTTTAAATCTTTAAAATTTACAGCATTTAAAAATAAGTTCATTAGAAAACATTACAATATAAAGCTGAATTGCCTTTAACTAAACTATCTATGCTGGTAAGACCCAACTAAAGGAATATTTTCCACCAGCTTGGAGAATGAGAACCACTTTTAATGCTCTGCTGTTTGTAGACAGAAAGGTTCCTGTAGGTTCATTTGCAATGTTATGTGTGGTTTAAGCTTTAATCATCACCAAAAGTGCTGCGTTTTACGGCAGCACCTCTTGCTCTGTGCACCTCAGTTTCTTTAAATACAAAAAGGGAATTACGTTCGCACCTATATCTATCATGGCGTTCACCCAGCGACTGAGCGAGTTATGCACATCTGAAAACACAGTAAGAGCTATTACTTGTGAGCTTTTTGTTTTAAAACTATACTCCATTAACTGACAGATTCACAAGTCTATCCCTAAAAATACTAATCTACAAGTAACAAAAGGAACCAAAAACATCCTCTAGACTCAACTTGTCTTTTCACAAAACAGCTGCGGGCAGCAGGAAGCGCAGGGAGACGTCCCAAACCCACCAGGGGGCCTGGGCGAGGTGCTGGCGTCACCACCCTGTGGTTTTAGGAGCTGAAACAGTGCCACACTCTCACCCTGCCCTCAGTAGGAACCTCTGGAGTCGCAGCTCTCTTCCGGCCAGTCCTGCGACCCAACACTTATTCCTGGGTCCCTAAATTACAAGTCTTGCATAAAAATACACTTCATCACTACTATATAATAACCACAATTACTGCCACTTGATACCAACATGCTTTTATACATTTTTTTCCTTTAGAAAAGAAGCAATGGAAAGTGAACAGCTACTTTAAGTCAAAGAAGAGAATTTGATTTTTAGGTAAAAGGACACTCCAGCGAGAGAGACACTGTCTCGTTAGAGCTCAGAAACTGTTTGGCAGGGGGCCGCCAACTAGGATGGGCACAGGTGAGTGCCGCTCACCCCGGCCGCACAACTCTTCGCAGAGGGGGCCGGCAGCGTCCCTGACCCATCTGCTTGGGGAGGCAGGGGCCTGAGCCTCCAGCGCTGGGACAGGGAAGCGTCTCCCTAGGGGCAGGATGGCCCCCCGCCGAGCCGCTGCTATAGGCTGATTCCAGTTCTCTAGCTCCGGCGCTTAATACTGGTCTGCCTGCCTCCCTGTGCCACCCAAGGAGGAGGTAATTATTAACCAATAGCCCCGTCCTCCGCAGCGCGGAGCTGGGACAGACGAGCGGGAGGTGTCCGAGGCGCGGTGGAACTCGGAAGCGCCGGGTGGGTGTGGGTTGAACAGGGGTCGAGGCGGCACCTCGCATGGGCGTCCCTGGGGAGACGGTGACCTACCACTTGTCTCAAAGGGCACACGTTAGAAACCGCCCCGGGGGCGAGTACTAACATGGCCTGTCATAGGGGACTGCAGAAATCGCCACCACCACACAGGAAGGCGTCAAGAGAGGCAACGTTCTCAAAACACTAGCAGCTGGGGTCCCCTCCCCTTTTCATTTCCTCCAGAAGACCAACAACCCCGCGGGGGCCTCCTTCCTTCCTTTGCTCAGCCGCGTGTCCCCCGCCCCCCGGTTTCAGATGCACGAGCTGTCTTCTCAAGACCGCCTGGCCTGAAACAGGATGTGGCACCATCTCTACACGTTTCTCTATCTGAAGCTGTTGATCACATCGATTTTATCATTTATGTCTGACAAAAACACCACTTCACATATAAACACCGTTTTCGAAATTGTTTTGTCATAAACAACGCGGCCACGTTGACGGCACACAGGACGAGCGCTATGTCCAGGCTGTTATTCTGAGATTAGGATATTCGAGTCTTTTAAGCGAAATTGTCCGCGCGGCCGCAGGGCTCACCTTCCGAACAAGCAGGTGCTCAGGCTCAGCGGAAAGTGGGGGCCGTCGACCCCGCTCCTTTTGATGGTCACAAGGCGTCCTGTAGGACCCATTTTCTAAACAAGAGTGTGTGCACAATCCGTATAGGAAGGCCAGGCAGAAGCAAACTTACAAGCAACTCTTTCGCGGCAGGAACATGCACTGAATAAAACAACAGAAATAGAAAACGTTGGGGGGTGGGGGACGTGTTACTTTGAAAGCAAAGAGCCAAGAAGTCACTTGTAAGTGACCGACTGGGGCTGCTGGTTCAATTCACCGAGGCCGCTGTCGCCCCGGCCCCAACCCTATCTGACAGCTGGGGAGCCCCAGCCAGCCCTGCGCTGCCGCCTGCACGTTCTCCAGCTCGCAGCGCCCCCACGGACTCGCGGCCAGGACGTGACCGTGGGATCATCACGCCCGAGAGTTCCCGCCGAGATCCCGGAGGCCGAGCCCAGAAGGAGCCGGGCCCAGCCGCGCTCCCGGCGCCGGTCCCCGCAGTGCCCGGAGGGTTCGCCGCGCCCCCGACCCCCGTGGTGCCCCGACTCACCCAGGACGAGTCGCCCGCACTTCCACCCGGGCGTCCAACGCTCGTCGGGGCGCTGCCCAGACCCGCGCGGTGAGGAGCCCTCAACGCGTCCACTTGCGTCCACCTCCCGCCCCGCGCTCCAGGGTCGGGCACTCAGCCCGCAGGCCCGCGTCCACCTCCGCCGCGGCCGCAGTCCCCACTCCCCCCGGCGTCGCCCTCCCCACTGACCGGGTGGCTCAACCAGCTACGTCCCTGCCGTACGCAGCGTTGGCGGCGCAGGCGCGGAGAGCCTCCCGCCGCCCTCTCCCGATTCAAATGAAAACAGCGATTCAAATTTGGCGCAAAGCCCTGTGATTGGACACGGCGGGGCAGGGCCCAACCAATGGGAGGGGGAGGGGCGGGGACGGGGCGAGAGCTGCCGTGGGCGGGCTCCGCGGCAGGGGCGGGCTCCCAATGCGCCCGAGAAAGACGCGGGCTCCGGGTCCCCACCCGGGGCCGCGCAACACGGGCGGGGACCCCTCTTGCCTCCTCTTATTGAAGGACCGAATGCAGTGGTGAGATGAGCAACTGTGCACAATATTAAACATGTTTTAAGTTTCCATATCTCCCGGAAGATAACCAGTTATTATAAGCAATTTCTGTGTCTTCCCCCAGTTACACGTATATTATTTTCTCCCCAAAACGCAGTAAAAAGAAATCATAACAGACACATTGTTCTATACTTCGGTTCTCTGCCTAATAGACTCAGAGGCTGTTTGTATTGAACGCATCCTTCCCTTTCACTTTTGTTTTAGAGGCAGCTGCGCTTTCGGCTTGGGAAGCCAAGGTCTGCCTACCTGCTCCTGCTCGGCGTATAGGGAGGGTTCCGGTGGGTCCCTGTTAGAAACAGTTCTGCAACTACACACCTCGCGCTTGACAAAATGCACCGACTCCAGAAAACCACGGGTGTTCTCCCTGGAGCTGCCTGCCAGGGCTGGGGGGAGGGCGGATGGCGGGGGCCTCGGTGGGTCTGCATGGGGTTCGGTGGCCCTCCCCGCTTGTCACCCCCTCCCGCTCGCCCCACACCTCTCGCGCTTGGCTCTCTTTGGTCAGGGTTCTCGCCCAGGGTCTGTGGACGCCTGAGGGTGCCTGAGACCCCTGGGGTCCAGGAGCCAAAGCCACGTGTGTGATAACATCCCACAGTTCTTTGCCCCTTTCGCGCGTTTTCTCAGGAGTGGAGGGAGGCGTTTCCCAAATGCAGACGGAGAACTGAGGATCCAGGAATGACAGAGGATCACAACAATATAAAGGGATGCTGCTCTCGTCACTAATTTAAAAAACCAACAAACAAAAACACCTGTTTCTATGTTCACATGAAATGAGTCCGTGATGGCTTTAAAATGGACACAGTTTTTAAAATCATTCCGTTAATAACCCACATAAACAAAAACTCTTTGTGGCCCTCGATGATCTTTTGGGACGGTTTTCAAGGGGCCCTGCGGCCAAGAAACACGAGCTCTTTCTCCTGAGTGACAGCCCCAAGGCAGACTGCCCAGGGGGATGTGGACTCGCTCTGGGACGACGGCGAGAGACGGCGCCTCCGCCTTCGTGTCCGTGGCGAGGCTGCCGGGGCTCATTTAAATGCCGGGATGCTATTAGCCGTCTTGGAGGGATGCGTTTCCCTGTCCTCCTGCCTCCCGCCGCCGTCAAAGGGAGCTCATCCTGATCAACCCGGTGAAATGCGACCTCTGTTGCTCTAATTGCTGCTTGTTATCAGGGACGGCTGCTCGGCCCTCCTCGGGCAGCCTCATTAGAGCTGGTGGGCGCCCGATTCCCTGGCACACGAGCTCGCCGGCACCGCTGGGCGCCGCGGGGAGGGGCAGCGGCGAGCAGGGCGGCCCCCGCAGTGGCCCCTCTTCCAGCCCGCTTTCCCCTCGGGAGACTCGGTCCTTGAAGCTGGCCCGGGGCGGGGGCGGGGGGGGGGGAGTCGGCCGGGGGGTCGCGCGGGCTGGTGTCCTTCTGTAACGGATCCCCTGCGCTCTTCCCTCCCGAGGATCAGTTGCCTCGCTGAAGCCCCGGGACCCCTAGACGTCAGGGAGTTGTCAGCTCCAGCCCCCTCGCCCAGGCGCTGACCGGAGCACCGGGCACCTGCTGCCTTCCACCACCAGCCCCAAAGGTGGACTCGCTTCCTGGGGGCCCCATGCCCTTGTGGGCAGTGCCTGCCCCTCCTTCTGGGCTCCCTGAGCAGGCTCCCAGTGGCTTTCCACCCGGGTCACAAGCTGGCCCCTTCCACGGGTGGGGGGCCAGGTGGTCTGCGGGGCCCCTCCCTGACTTCACAGCCCCTGTCCCCACTTGGTTTCCTTGGCCTTTCCCCCGAGCACACGTGGGCCAGCCTCCTCCCCGACTCCATTCTGTCCCCATTCCCCAAGTCCTCACTCTGAAGATGGCGTGGCATAACCCTGCCTACCTCTGGGACCCCGACTCAGGCCCCTCTGGAGGGCGATCCCTGTAGACAGAGAGAGCTGCAGCAAATCGCCTCAGATCCCGTGACTTCCTGGCTGACAGTGCCCTTCAGAGGCCGCTCATGGCTTCCAGAAAAGAACCCAGACTCCTCCCAGGACCGAGGAGGCCGTTGCAGGCGTTCGAGGCCTCAGGCCACTCGCTCCCTGTGCTTCGGCCACTACCTGGTCCTCCCCAAAGGGCCCAGATCCTCCCAGCCTCAGCTGCACACCCCAACTCGTCACAGTGCGGGGGGCTTTGCAGACTGGAGGGACCCCTCTCAGAGCCAGCGTGGAAGGCACCCGCCCGGACGTACCCTGGCCAGGGCAGACCTGCCGGCCAGGGGACTGCAGCGTGAGCCCTGCGCGCCGCGCTGGGCGTGGCCTGGAGAAAGGGCGGGGCCCCTGCAGTCCGAGTTGCGAGGGGAGAAACGGGGGCCAAATGTGGCACTGCAAAACAACAATGGAATTTTGAAGATCCTTTTTGTTTTATAAAGAAGCCAACATATTTTCGTTATTGAATATTTGGAAACTATACAAATGTAGAAAGAAGAAAAAGGCACCTGAACACGCAGAACAAATGCAATCATGTCTTTGTCTGTGTGATCTTTATTTTGCAGGAGAAACATTCCATGTCTTTGCAAACAAGCACGCACCATTTTATGAGGCTCTCATGGAGCACTGTAACACGTACTTTCAGATTCACTTTTGGCGAGTAACACTTTAAGAACCCTATTGCCCTGTGCTAGAGCATTTGAGTTTTCCCCCAACACTTGAGTATTGCAGATAATCGCGTGAGGAACATACAGAGCAAAATCCTTGTCCACTACACCAGATTATATTCTTAGTTTATGTCCCCCCAGGTCTGGTTGCAGGATTAAAAGACATTTGCCTCATACCATCTACTTGCTTGCTTTTCAAGAGGGTTGCAACAGCGTATCTATCCAATTAGATGCTTGAGAAGGAATGCCTGTTTTACTAGAAGCTCAGTTTTCTGCTGCTTTGATAAGCCAGAAAGGGGATGTTGTTTCAACAAATTTTAAAATTACTAGTAAAATTACCTTTCCTCGGCTGTTGGAATATCTCATCTTTTTGACAGTAATCTTGTTGCATCATTTTCTTTTTTTTATCAGTTAATGTATTAGTGTTCCTTATCAATTTACTTAAAAAATATATACATTATTGTTCTGCTGAGTTAGTAGAATTTTAAAACTCAGTCATACTGGCAAAGACTATTGAGAAGCTGCTGCCTGGATGCCTTGAATAAGTGTGTGTAAAGAATGACACTCTCCAGCCCTTCTGAGGAAACCTTGTGCGTGGCTGACCTCCCTGGTGGGGACAGGAACCGGTGGTATTTAAAAACAAACCCTCTTCAAAGATAGCCCCAAACCCTCACCAAACCTCCCAGAGTGGGGTCACAGGTGTCTAACATGGGAAAAATAAAAGTAAAATAAGGTTAGAAGGGACATTGGGTACATCTTGGTCCCTGTCTAGGAATAGCGTCACTTCAAGTAGGGGACGGTGGCATAGCCACAGGCAAATGACAGCACAGAGCTCTGGCAGCATATGTAGACCCTCAGAAGACAACGGATGGGGCTTCTAAGGGCAGCTGCCATAGAAGGAAACAGTTTTATGGGAGAATGTCGAGACCTTTAGGTGTAAATGATACGTGCGCAGCTGAACTTGATAGGTACCTGGCAATCAAATATGAAAGCTCACTCTCTCCACTGCCACATGCTTGACTGACTAGCAGCGCGCCATGTTCAGCTCCGTGGTCTCCGGAGCTCTCGGGCCGCCTGGGCCCGAGCCGGGGGCTCTCTGGAGAGCAGCTTATCGGCCCTCCTGCCTTAAGGCGAGGGGTGTCTCTGTATGAAATTCTCCTGGAAAGGGGATCCCCCAAACAACTGCTTAGTGTCTGGTTCTTACAAAAGAAAGGGAAAGAGCTATGGGTTTAGGGTTAGATACTGGAATTGCTTCAGAACAGAATAATAATGATCACTATTGTAATAATAATCACTTCAGAAAAGTTTCCACCCTCTGGTAATGAATTTTTCCTTTAACAAAACCCTTA